GAACTCTCTTGCCGCTGCTCTATTTCCGTGTTCAACTGCGAAACCGATCGCCTTCAGTTTGAACTCTGCGTTGTCACATGTCTCTAGCAAGGAGCCATTTTGGGGTCGAAATATTACCGTAATGGCCATGCACAAGTCGCATCGGCTTTTAAGGCGCGCTGTGAGCTTTTAAGAAAATGGAAGGCTTTTAGGTGCACCTTTTAGTGCGGAAAATATGGTAGACTAAGAGACAGTAAACAAAAAAACGACAGCAAAAAAAGACTTTATCCAAGAAATCAAGCTCGGAAAAATTTTGCTTTTTACATGTTCCCGCTTATACTGTATTTTGAGTGTGCTGGGTGAGGTTCTGCATATGTGTGGCTTTTATTTCATGAAAACCCTGACTGTGGATGATATGATAAACAATGACTTCTCAGCCATGTCAGCTGTGCAGTCAAGGTACACATCACAGTTTTGGAGTTGTGAGGTTAGATTGATGTGTGAGGGTTAAAAAAAAAAGAAAAATTGCAAGTCCCATCTTCGTGGACTTGTGCGTACCTCTCAATGGTCCATGCAGTCAGGTTGTGCGGGATGTCCGCCGTATTGGTGATCCAGTCGCCATCCGGCAGCTCTTTGATTTGCACGGTCAAGTACCTCACTGGGGAGGAGCCTGAGCTACCAGTCACCCAGTGAAGGCGGAGCCGACGCGCTTCCACGCCATCTTGAGGAACTGACAACTTCCTGGGCGGCTGGGGACGCTCTGCATATACGAAGAAGGAATTAGATAGGGAAGCATAAGAGAGAAATTCTGATGATCCATTTTCTTCTTATGTGTCCCGATGTTCCTTTTATCAGATACGCACGAGAGCGTTTGCATCCAATTTTATGCGATCGCTTTTTCACTTACGCACGTGAGTGAAAATGAATCGGGGAAACAGTCAAGTCTCATTTCATTCCTTCTAATCATCCAATGATGTTTGCATTGTGTGGAAATGTTGTTTTCTTGGCTTCCCAATGTTAAATGCATCATGATACTCATCATTTGAGAGTATGCAGGAGGCGGGTATGGATAACGATGTGAAATTTGGTGCTGAGTTCCACTTTCCTGGGACTACTCATTGTAGTTTCTTATGAAAGTATAACCGGGGGGGGGGCAGGGGGGGGCATTGATACACACACCTTATTCCTTATTTCCATGTAAGGATGAAGTACGCTGAGTGATAACTTTAACGGCAGCCCGTTTCAAATGAGTCATTCACGGAACACGACGGCGCATTCATCCGCTTATAAATTGCCGACGGATTGGTTTGTAGCGTTCTAAATTCTGCGATGATTCATACTCCCGTCAAGTGCAAGGCGTGCGGATACATTTTCATCACTTGCCCGCCCGGGTGACGTTCGCGCGCCAGAACTGATGAAATAAAACAAGACATAACAGCTGGCGCCTCACCGATGAAGAACTGCATTAGCATGAGTCAGTGTCTCTACTATTCAATTAGAAAGGTGGCATTTGAACGTTAGCATCGGAAGTAGCTCGTACTTTAGATGACGGGATGTGTGTTGAAGATGCATAGAAACACACACACACACACACACACACACACACACACACACACACACACGCACACACACACACACACACGCACACACACACGCACACACACACACACACACGCATGCACGCACGCACGCACGCACGTGCACACACACACAGCTTAAGGGAGCGTGGCTGTCTAATTTCAGGTCTCTGGGGATATTGACTAGGTGTGGTAATAAAAGTGTTATTGATTCACTCCAAGGTATAATTAATGTGCACGTGCATGCATCAAGGCAAGCATGGTCGCACACGCCGGCTTGGTCGTCGCCATTCATCCTTATCGCAAGTAATTAAGACAAATTGGATTGCTCTCCTTCTTGCCTCTTATCCTCTTTTCTCATCAGTCCCTTTCAAAAGATTTGACAACAGTAGAAGCTCTAAAGTTGAATTGTCCCCCACAGGGTAGAATTCTGAAATTCGGATGAAAAGCTTTAAAAGAAATTTGATGCACTTTTTTTTTTTTTTTTTTGGTAGTTATGTTACGCGAGACAATCAAACATGATACAGCATCCAAATGTTCGTACGCATCCATCCATCCATTTTCTGATCCGCTTACCCTCACAAGGGTCACGGGGCGTGCAACGAGCCTATCCCAGCTGTCTTCGGGCGGTAAGCGGGGGGGGCACCCTGAACCGGTCGCCGGCCAATCACAGGGCACACATAGACAAACAACCATCCGCACTCACACTCACACCTAGGGACAATTGGGAGTGTTCCATTAATCTGCCACGCATGCTTTTGGAATGTGGGAGGTGACCGGAGTACCCGCAGAAAAACCATGCAGGCACGGGGAGAGCATGCAAACTTCATACAGGAAGGCCGGAGCCGGAATCAACCAGTCGACCACCGGGCTGCCAGTTTGGGCGCATTTCACCCCAAAATACCTGATACAATGCAAAATCCCTTTCATGGGACACAAAAGCATTGGAAGTGGTTGATGCGGCAAGCAATAAAGCAGAATGTCAGAAGGGATTATAACATCATTGGCCGACCGCACAGGTATTTGCTTGCTATTAAAACATTTGTTGCCAATTGTTTTTTAACCTCTCTGCTACGAACATTAACTTCTGTTGCACAAAGCGAGGCATATTTTATGGCACAACTCTTGACACACATACACACACACACGTACAATCAAAGAGCCAATTCCGTTTTCAGGGGATTAATTTGGCCTGTTTGCCATCATGTGAAAGAATTCTCAATGAGGCTGTTCAAAATGGGCCGGAATGTTAGTGAAGTGGAACAGCCGAGCTATGAATGGCAGACCTGAGAAAAGCAGATAGTGATGCTGTGTGTGTGAGTGTGGGTGTGTGTGTGTGTGTGTGTGTGTGTGTGTGTGTGTGTGTGTGTGTGCATGTGCGCGCGCGCATATTTCTGTATGAGGTTTGAGCCAATTAAAGTGTACGAGAGAGGCCGGTAGGGCTGGATATGTGACATTATTACTTAACGGATGCATGTTAAGATAATCAACGTGATAGCCTTTAGTGTTGTTCTACAAAGTTACCACTTTACTAATATGTCTATACTCAAATGACATTGAGTCTATGAGAAAAGTCGTAATTAAAAATGTTTCGCCTATGTAGACATTTACAGTACTATTTCAAACAAGATTTTACCATAAGCTAATTGCGTATGCAGCTAGCTGATGTGACGATTAGCATTTAGCAATGCTGGGAGGCAGTCATGCTAATCAGTAATTCACCGTGCTGTCCCCAGGTTTTGTTCTTTTTTTTTTTTTTTTTGGACTTCTTTAGAAGCTGGACATGAAAGACACACAAACTTTCTTTGTACGTAGCATTAATATCAGCAGGCACTTATTACTTCAGTCGAAGGGAACTCTTACAGAAAACAGTAAAATGTCGACGCATGCTTTGAGTGGGGAGAAAGTAGCTCCGTCTGGTCGACAATTGTGAAAAATACAAATTGAAAAGCCACTTGTCCGATTTGAAATCTTGAGAGCAGTGTGGAGTTTATTAAAATGTGTGGGATCAACAACGGCATAGTTGATGGGACACCATTTGTCTTGGTTTTTGTGTAGCTGTGGCACGTTGGACTAGTTAAAGGTACAGAGATGAGAATTCCAAAAGCAAATTAAAATGAACGCCATTTAAGACAGTCACAACAGCTGAAAATAATAGCAAAAATGTCCCTATGATGCATTCAGGGACAATTACCTCAGTCCTGGGTGGAAATAGGTGGTTGAATATTACAGAGCTGGAAAACAGGACGGCGTTGCCGGTGTGGCCAATTTAAGCTAATGGCGTAGTTGGGTCTCTGATGCATGTAACCTGATGCATGTCGTGGCTGATGTTCAAGCCGGTTGGTATTTTTGAAATGATATGAACTAGAGCAGCTTCAAACGAGGGTGTCACCTCCGGCAAATTGGGTGCTTTATGTGTTGATGACGTGTGTGTTGCCTCGTTTTCGTGCCTCTGTGAATATTGTTTCATTTTCCCATGCAACATTTTAATTGCACACTTATTCCATTGCCGACAAGCGACTTTCTTTGCCATGAATTTAACATGAGATGAGATGATGTGCCGTAAACACACGTCAACGAGTAATAGGATTTTGCAGGCGAATGCGTGCTTTCATTCTGACATTTCTATTTTTACATACTTTTTTCTTCATATACATAAAGGATTTTTAGAAAGAAATAACATTCGGAAGCTGAGAAGGTGACATGATTTCCATTAGGCTCCCTTTTTTTAAGCTTTTCTCTTCCTCAGGGAGATACGCTTTTATTATATGCCACAAAAAAGACCTTGTCAACGTCTAACAAGCGTTTAAATATGCTGACACTGCATTCAACAGAATAAACCAAGTAGATTCAACAAGCGAGAATTTTCACGGGCAACACAATTGATGAGCAGTTAAGCAGGTCTACCTCACAATTCATAAATTCCGGATTTGAATCTCGGTGAAATCTGGGCCTGTTCAATTGAACGCAACGCTAATAAACGGGTCGTGACGTATTTAATTAAACACAGGCTTAACTCTGTCTTCTGATATCTAATGGAAGAATATTTCATTGTTCTGCCTATCACTGTACGTCACCGGCATAGATTGATTGTATGTTTCTACTTAAAAAAAAAAAACCAAAAAAAAAAGCAACAAAAAAATCTGACAATTTCGGTGAAATTGGATAATTTCCGGCGTCAGCCCCCAATAACGTCTCAAAGTGTGCCAAGGAACCCTGGCTGGAAATCATTGCTGTAATACAAATCTGTTGCATTAACCTGGGACTGGGAGGTTGCATAAGACGGATGGATAAACTATTCATTGAGGTATTTCAACTTGTCTCTCAGTTCATCAGTAGGGCACGAATAGGAATCGCTCTTTGCTGAGGATAAAAAATATATAAATATATGCCTGACAGTAAATAACAGTATTTTGTTTGTCTATATGTGTTGCCGCGCCATTTTTTTCACTTCCAGTGCTTGTATTGCGTTTTTTTTTTTAAATGCTTCATTTTTTAAAAAGTTTTTATTAGATTTAGTATTTGTATTAGTTTGGTTTTTTGTTGTTAAATATACAGTATATGGAATATTTGTTGAGTGCAAGAGAAGAACAAGGTCACAGTGTTGCGTTCAAGTAAACTAATATTTCCAAACAACATCTCAATCTTTCTTCTTCTGTACAGCCGAACAGAAGTAGAGGTTGACAAAGATGAAAAGAAAGGACGTTTTCGGTGTCGTTATAGTTAGTTTTTATAAATGTAAAATGTTGTTTCAGTGCGCTTCCATCTTTTTAAAAGCCCTCTCATTTTCATTTGATTTCAACATGAGTTGTAGTTATTTCTTTCGTTTTCATGACTTACGAAAACGTTGACATCCTACCATATTTATTTGAGGTTTATTCTTTTTTTCCGCGTAGCATGTTTCAGTGTTGTCAACTTTTACCTCTTCGCTCTGTGGTGACCACCAAGGCGACGTGTTCCTGGCCCCAGCCCACGGCAGTGCGAGCCACGAGCCGGAACACGTAGGTCTGCTCTGGGGTGAGCCCGGTGACGGTGAACTGGCGTCCGTTGGACCCCACCTCCACCGTGGTCCACTGCTGGCTGTCCCTGCGCTCCAGTCGGTAGGCGATCTGGTAGCCTATAGAGAAACAAAAAGAACAGAGATGAACACTCCAACGTGTTTGTGTCTCTCGTCACATGTTCTGCGCGTTCTTGGGAAAATCGACAAGCGGTGAAACTGGACAACATTATAGCTGTGTTGAGAAACAAGGCCAGGCTACTCACACTCTGACATGCTCATACACACGTACAACCTCTCATCCTTACCCTTGGCTGGGAATCACTGGGTACATGCTCTCGCTATCTCATGTGCAGCAGGCTATGTAATAACGCTAACACCTCTCAACATGTATATATTGCGTGCGCGCGCACACACACACACACACACACACACACACACACACACACACACACACACACACACACACACACAGCGCAGACGCGCACAAGTCCATTTTTCCGCAGGCCACTCACAAAAGCATGTCAGAGGAGCAATACACTGTCACGCTAAGTAGTCAAATGAATCAAAAACGGCTGCAACTTATCCTCGGAGGAGTAACGGGGTCCTCGGTTTACAGTGAGTCTGACATCTGCTGTTTGCAACGGTGTGGAGAGAAGCTTAAAGTGTGTCTTCGAGTTCAAATTTCTTTTACTTTAGAGCAGGGATCTCAAAATCCGGTCCTCGAGGGTGGCTATCGTGCATGTTTTAGATGTCTCTTTCCTCCAACACACCTGATTTGACCTAAAATTATTTTATTATTTTGACTTCAAGATGGCGCCGCGAGAGCGGCTGCCTTTCCAGCAGCTCCTATATTTTTTTCTTCTACTTCTTCCTTTCATAACTTTGCTGCTGTGAATTGGGAATTTCTCCGTTGTGAGACTAATAAAGGTTTTCTTATCTTATCTTAATGGAACATGAGTCGTCAAATTCCGAACCGTCTGACCTCAGGAGCCTAAATGTAAATAAATGTTTTACAATATTTTAATCCTTACATGCACCCTGTAACCTGATAACATGATACGCTGTCCACGATAGTGACCGCTGTCCCTGAAAGGGTTCAGAAAAATAACAGTTCACTCAATGAGAAATAGAACGCACATCTTGTTTTTGGATTGAGTTGGAACGTGTCAAACGATGGCGCTGATTTAAAAATAAAAAGATGGAACATGAGGGAAAGCTTTTGCCTGTAAGCATTTCTCCAAGTACACAACCTTTTGCTAAAAATCCGACTAAATTCTAGTGAGAACACGCACGGCGCCGGATACGACTGCTTTACAGTAAAACTGTTTTGACGATAATCTGCTGACGGGCACCTAATCCGTTTGCGTTTTGTGATCATTTTATCAGATAGTCCGATTGTTTGCTCAATGTAAGCGGCGAGCGAGGCAGATTAGCGGATAACGGCGAGATGGCAAAATCCGGCGGCATCAAAACAATCGCTTTCGGAGCTCGCAGTTTGGCACGGGATATCTCCGGGACATCCCCGCTGATGAGATCCACGAGGATAAATCTCCATTACAAAAGGGGACTCTTGTCTTTTTCGTAAAAAGCCCCTCTTGGGTTTTTATTTTTATTTTTTTCTGCCAACGGGAAAGATGCAGCGCATAAATATTTAACGCAGCCCGCTGGCTTTTGGCAAAAATGTGTCTGTGGCGACGCTAGCGGCTCAGCGTGCTTGGCTGCGCGTGTATAGTTCATGAAATACTCATGCGCTGCAAGTTAACAAGCTTGTGAGGGTATTTTTAACATCTTGCTTCAAAGAACATACAGATGTCTTGGAGCGGACACATTGAAAATAGCTTGTATCGTATGAGCTGTATTTACAGTCTCTCCTCTCAAACCTCCAAAAAAATTGACCCACAGTGTCAAACAAAGCAGGAGTCGCACGAGTTCAAAAATAACGATTTAATTGCGCAAGTACAGCTTTACAATTTAAAGATTAAAGTATATTGTTCAATTAAGAAATCTTGAAAACGTTACTTGTCTTCTTGTTTTTTTTCTTTTTAATGTAAAGTAGCTTGCGCCTGAATTCATAATTTAACTAAATTCGCCACATTTAGTTTTGCTTGAATTTTAAATTAATTTTGTCTTATTTTGCTTTGATTTTTTTTTTTCTGGACTTCAGTTTATGAGTGATTGACTTGCAAAAATACGCCCCTGACACACAGAGTAGATATACAACGTACACGGGCTAAAAATGATTTTCTGTTTTTATGTGCTCAAATAATAGCCTATCAATACAATTCAATTTCATTCTAATAGAGCTAGCTAAGTACCAGGAGTATTTTTTGTTCTTTTTGTTCCAACAATTACACACTTTTTGTGTGTGTGTGTGTGTGTGTGTGTGTGTGTGTGTGTGTAATTCTACTAAAGTCTTCTGAGAACAGATTTTTTTTAAGACATAACCCCCACCCTCCCCAAAGGAAAAAAAAAACCTGGTGCTGGTAGAGAAAGAAAAAGTCACAAAAGTGCAACTACTCCAGATACACCACCAAAAAAAACAAAACAAATTAATACTCCATCTGCAGGATGGATTCTCAGTCAGCTGCACGCAGGAAAATGTGTGATGTTTCGCATGTACGAGAATAAGTCTGTTTTTTTTTTTTTTTCCCCATCCCAGTTGGAGGGATGAGTTTAGCGTGAACCAAAGAACAAAAACTTTGAGACATGCATTCACGTACTACTATTGGCCATGTTGGAGCTCTGTCGTTTGTGAGCTCCTGCCAACTGTCTTAAAACAACTTTTTTGGGACATGCATCGCTAGATGCACATATCCAGTCTGAGCTTTTGTAATGCGCTTCTTAATGAGAAAAATTGCACTCTACAGTATATACGGTATTATACTCACCTTCAGTGTGGCTACACCTTAAATGATGACCAAGTAAATAGAATCAAACCGTTTTTTGTCACATTTTTCCTTCAATTTCCTTGAAAATCAACACTGTGCTGCTCATTCTGATGTGTGTGTATGGCCACCTGTGGGCAGTATAAGACAAATACACGGACATACAGTATTGGAGACTCCACTCCACCTAGACTACGGTAGTACGGCAGAAATAATAGTAGTTCTTTGCAGAGGATAAAGAATATATCTTTCAGTATATTATCTGTCTCAGCTGGGATAGACTCCAGCCAATCGGCAACTCTAATGAGGACGTGCTATGAAAATGGATTAGATCGATTTGAATGTCTTTTATGAGTGACCGGTGTGAGTACACTGAGTACTGTACAGCACCAGGCTGCAGAGAGGGCGGTGAAGGACGCACAGTAGCTTTCAGTCACATAAGGCAAATGCGAGTATCAACTCTGTGTTTGGAAATGCCCACACGCACAATATGCAGACCACGGGTCCGAGCAATGACACAGCAGGATTACGGCGCTCGATTCTGTCAGCGAGTGGCATCATTCTAAATGTCTCCCTGCTTCAATTAAGCTTGCGCATTCACACTGCCCCGCTGAGAGGACAAGTGTTCCTCCAACCCCCGACGCTGGCGCCTACAACATACAAACACAGACACGCAAAGCTCATCCGTCATGCGACGCGCTTGGAACATCTGAAACCTTCTCACAAATCTGCTGCTTCGCCTGACATGTATTTGAATTCAGGCTTTGTGAGACATGTATTTGTATTCAGATTTTTCAAGACGGAACGTACAGTAAGTACATCAGCGGGCCGAGTTACACACACGTCTTGTATTGGCATTTAAACATCTCCTGGCCTCTTCAGATGGAAAAAAAAAAACGTCATTTTTCATTCATATGAAAAACGAAGATAAAAGTACTGCTCTGGCACCATCTTGGTGCCAAGGAATTACAGTATGTTGAGATGAGTTGAGGTGCTTCATTGAGACAAAACTGGTGCTTTTCCGTGACCTCATGCCATCTTGGTGGCAAGAAACTATGTTGGAGTGAAGGAGCTCCATTTAGACAAAGGCAGTGCTTTGCTGCCATCTTGCATAAACGATAAACCTTTTTACAGCCTTTTTTTTTTTTGAGAATCTTTCAGGTAATCGGTGTACAGTTTTTCCTTTTTTCCCTTTACTGTATCAAAATCAAAGCTTTCCAATCAAGGTTCATTCCCAACCAAGATTTTTTGCATACTATTACACCCTTTGTACATAATATCGTCTTTCCTCAAGTAGCGGTGAAGACCAAGCACCCGTCAAGTGTTTGAGGCATGTTGTTGACACCGCCTCTCCAAATTATTATGCAAATGATGTTTTCCCCGATTTTTATAAATAGTCTATGCAAATGGCACTCAGCATCATTTTCAAGTCATCAACTGTTAAGAGAATAACTGGAATGTTTTTTTTTTTTGAAACAAACCTCCCAATCATAACAGTATTTCTCCACCCTCTTCCTTCCCGCCAGGCTTGTCGATCCGTCTCTCCCATGTTGATTATTGCTGTCTTGTCTATGTTCCTCTGAACGGGTTGTAACTGGGAAGTAAATTCCATGTGTGGGTTTTTTTTTTTTTGCAATACATGGCCAATAAATGTGATTCAGAACTTATTTGCAGGCTATTGGAATACCCTCATCGACCTTTGTTTGGGGTTGCTCCAAAGGCTGTCAATCGAGTTGAGGTCAGGTGGATGAGTTTCTCCCCTTTTATGCCCAGAGCGGCTAAGGATGCAGCAGTATTCCTTCCAGCGCGGGAATGTTCACTGATGAGTGCCGTGCAATCCTTGACGGTCATGATGGATGGAATAACCTACGGTTGGTTGATGACCAACCACGTCTCAACAAGGCTGCGACATCAGCAGGGAGGTAGCGAGTCATGTTTTCAGCCGGAATCACGGGGGAGAGAGCCGGTCGGCCCCTTACGGCTCCCTGAAGGTGTGAAAATAACCACTTGGAAGGCATGTGGAGTTTTTGGACTCATTACTTCCGAGGTATAAAATGAAGCTGGAAAAACAATATGCAAGAAATTCTGCATCAACGGGCGGGCTGCTATGGGCGTGAAAGGGGAGAAGCTTGCGTGTGTGCGACCCCTCCTCCCCCAATCCTCCCCCTGACGATCAACCACTTATTGAAAACCTCTGAAGCATCGTACGCAAAAGTTCCATGAGGTTTGGAGGCAGTAGCAAAAGATCGATGAGGTTGGATGGCAGTTCATATCCAAACTGCAGCTCTGGGAGGCTCGTCTGACATCCTGAAAAAGAAACTCAAGCAGAAGCTGTCCAAAAACTCACGAGATCAATGGATGCGAGAATTATGACGCCGCTCTTAAATCAGAGGTCCAATGTTAAAACAGAACTTGACTGGTGAAGAAGTCTCGGATTGAATTTGCTTTTGATTTCCGCAAACGGCGACCTCTGAATGCTGAAAAAAAAACTGCATCATAATTTGGAACGCAGTGTAGCAGATTGCAAATAATTCCGATTGAGCTTGACCTCACCTGATGAAACTCAGAAAATGGCATCATTGCTCTGATGCGTCTTATGTTCCTGAAATCCTGAACTAAAAAAAAAAAACCCAAAAAACAAAAAAACTGTGGACTTAATAGTCTGAGCGAACTGGAGATCAGTTCCCAAATTCTGTGCTCGCGTGTTCGGGGACACGCCTCAGACCACAAGAAAATCTATCAGGTTCATTTTGTAAAATAATCTGATGGCCTTTGCTTCACATACTCTCCTGCATCGTGCTCTCTCTCTCTTGCTTGCTGTCACCCTTCAAACCACCTCCAAGTTGTCTAACACCCTATTAGGTGCTGTCAGGTTCAGTTGCTGGCACCCCCGTTTTAACTACTGTCAGCTAAATTTCTCATTCTTATCCTGACTGCCATGGCAAATATTTCCACAATTTCAACATCTCACCGTACATCCAGTACGATCCATGTTTTCTCATCGTCTCTTGACCACTTGCTTTTTGTCCAAGATGGACTAACATGGGGCGAAAATGTAAATGTAGCTCGACAGCGTGACTGGCCACTCACTCGTGACATCAATGGGGAAACTAAACGATGCAATTCTGGTGAGTGACATCACTGAGACCACTTTTTTTTTTTTAACTACATTTTATTTCGGCTCCCATCTTAACCCTTTCATGAACCCTGTAATCTATTAACATAATAAGATGTCCACTTTAGTAACCGTTGTCCCTCAAAGGGTTAAGGAATAATTCATGGCAATTTTAGGAAATAAGTGTGTTGTAGTTCTTCTGTAGTAGTTTTCCTATTTGGCTGGTCGATGTTACACATCCAGCGAGTCGTTTTCCAAATAATGATTAGGCTGCTCCTCCCCTGTGCGTGGGTGGGTGTGCTTCATACCTAATATGATGCCGTTGGGGTTTGCGGGAGGCTCCCACACCACCCTGGCTGATGACAGGCGGACCTCTGGGAACACCACCCTGACAGGGGGTCCTGGGACTAAAGGGGGGAGAGAAACAGAAATGGGAGTTGGCAGCCGAGCGGCCCTCGAATAATATAAAAAGAGCCGCAGAGCATCGCAACATCAAGCACTTACATTAAATGCGTGACTATATATGAGGCCGTGAGGATGCTTCTGCCCTTAACACACACCCACACACGCGTGCGCACACACACACACACACACACACACACACACACACACACACAGACGCGCGCGCGCAGGCACACAAACTGCATAGAGTGTCTTATCAATTTTTTAGACGTGCCTTGAACGATGCAAAAAATAGAAAATGTAATTTTCTCTTAACCTCCCCGCATCTGCCTTCGAACCTGATAGAAGTACATGTTCCACACCATCAAATACATGTCATTGCGACTCATGCGCACATGTGCCCCTTAGGACACACACACACCCACACACACACACACACCCACACACACACACACACACACACACACACACACGAGTGCACAACGCAGGTTCATTATACTTTGACAAATTGACTTGTTCAGGTTCCACCCTGAAATGAGAAAAACTTTTCAAATGTGACAGTGCTCAGCGATGTGTGCGTGTGTGTGTGCGCTGGTGTTTTATTAAGGGCAGTGGGGGTTGCTGCGGTAGTTACTACCCCAGATGGCTGCGTCTTCCAACATGAACGCCCCAAAACGTGCCAGCCCCACGACGCTTAACAGATGAACTGAAGCACCCTCATGACACTACGTGTGCAAAATAGAGCGTCTACTCTTCTCGCTCGACTTTCGACGAGACGTTGGAGGGTGCCTGAGGTGCATCCAATCATGCCTTAATAGGACAGGAACAGGGCATTCCCCAAACTGTTCTCACAAAGTCAGAAGCACAGCGTACCGTACGTCCATAAATGGCTTTTATAGTCATCATTTCAAATGTACTTGTGGCTAAAATGCGAAGTGTGGAGAGCCTCTGTCATCAAGATGCATGAATGCAGTCTTATCAATGGGGCGTCATTGCCAATAGCATCACTTTGGCCTTTTTACTTGCTCTTGGGAATATTTTGTTAGGCTTGACACGATCAGGATTTTTGGGGCTGATCACCGATCGGCTAGTTTCTATCTGTCTGACTTTTGCTAAGAAGTCTGACAGAAGAAGAAGGCAAAAAAGCCCTGTCAGAAATCGGTAGAGCTCAAGTTAAGCCCCTCCAGCATTTTATTTGCTATTCTAAAATGTATTTCGAAATTGTTTTCTCAGCCCCCCTATGTATCGGTTGAGCCCCATTTCAGGCCCTGGAGGGAAAAAAAATCCTGGAGAAGTGACTGCATTTTATATCCGCGTGGCAGGTTGTAGCACTTGAAATAAACTTGTGTACAGTTTAGTGAGCATTAACAGAAGTATTCTCGAGCATGTTTAGCAATCTTTGCAATGCCCCAAGGAAGGAAAGTAAGTGGGGGGGGAACAAGTTGTGTGATTTGAATATAAAATATTTATTCGAAAATAAATGAGCAGAACTTGATTTTTAGGAACAGCATAGCTGCTTTTAAAACATGCAACAGCAAAAAAATAAAACTAAATGCTTTAGTTGGAACTTTTTCAAAATTATTTTTATAAAGAACTTGTGCACCGATGAGTCGTAACTCCTGCATTGCAGATGAAGTGAAGTGGGACGCTGAAATATTGTATTGATGGGCATGGAAGTTTAGCATGTATATCTTTAAAGACAGTGAGGGTGTTCTGAAGTGAGATTGTCACATTAAATGACAGTAGCAGAAAATATCTTTATTTGTTTCACGAAAATAATTTAAATAACTTTAAAACTGTAGAATTGTGGTTAACAGAGTCACACTTTTTGAAGACGCGTGGGGGGCTGAGGGAGAAACACAAAACAAAAACACTCGCCGATAATTGATAATGTTTCCTACCGTCTTCTTTGGTTCTTAGTAGCATGGGGCTGCTGGGGGGTCCGTCACCCATTCTTGTGTAGGCCAGCACTTGCAGCGCGTATATCGTGTACTTCCGCAGCGCGCCGACAAGCAGCGACGCATTCCTCTCCCCTTCTGCCAAAAGAACGCTGGGGGGACGTTCGGACTCTTTCTCAGAGTACAACACCTGAATACACACACAGACACACACGTGCACACAGACAAACACACACGGCACAGTATTCAAGTTTCAGTCAAAAAAACATTGCGGGGACTACATTCCAGAACCCCCTATGGAAGGACCTTATAAAAATAGTGTTGTAATTACACCGGTCAACAACTTTTATTCCATTTTTTTAATCAGAGATGCAAGTAAACATTTGTCAATGAATTTTTGATGACAGAAATGAAAACCGATGATGGAACAACCGACATTTTGGCTATAATTACAGTTCATTTATTTCACTTTATGAGCATGAAATGACGTTTCAGTCAGTTTTTATTTTTTAAAAAGCAGTCATTTGAATTTTATTTTGTTCTTGAAAATGTTTTTCAATTTTCGTTTTAGTTGCTAGCTTTCGTTAACAACAACAACATTGAGATGGAGACGGTGTCTTTAGCGACAATTAACATTCCGGTGGACTCTGATCACACCGCAATTTGTTGTGCACAACAGAACTGCGAGGCAGATGTGCTAACCACTAGGCCACCGTGCTGCCTCTGTGTGAATTTATGTTAGGAAATAAAATAAATAAAAAAAATTTAAAAAGTCTCCCTCGGCTTCTCAAACTCGCCGCCTCACCTTACAAGAACACGGAAAGGAAAATGTCAGTCGTGACTTGAAGGGAGCACGAAGCAAAAAGTCATGAGGTGCTGGTGGCAGCTGGCAAAAGAAACCATTGGGCGCCTAACGGCGAACGGAAACGAGCACTGCTGGCAGCTGCTTGTCATCTCACAGCACAGTGGGCACGCTTGCGAGCTGCCGCACACGCCAGGGAACAATATAAGTGTGCCATGCGCTCGGGGGCCAAACGGATTATATAAGCAGATTCCTTTTCTCCCCCCCACCTCCTCCAAATCTCCAAAACAATGGATGGTGGAGTTATTTTGTTTCCTGCATATTAACACGAGCATGTCAACACAAGTGGAGACAAATCCCCCTTTTCTCCATCTCCTTTGCAGATTAAGACGCGGATACAATTTCGACAACACATTAGCCAAAATAGTTTTGTTTTTCTCCGTGCTGTAAAAAACACAAGACACAAAGCTACATGTCGTCTCTTTATGCTAGGATCAAAATGGCAACGTACATTACAAGAAATCCTCAGGGCGTTGCGTGGGGGAGGCTGGTAAAAAAAAAAAAAAACGATGAGCACGTCTTGTATTCGTCTGGCGCTACTATTTATCTATGTCCCCATTTCGATGAAGAGCTTTGTGACATCGCGCAGGTTTGATAGATTGCAGTTTCTTGTTGTTGGATGACACACTAATGATGGATCATCTTCATCCTTCGTTCTGTCATGTCAATCCGTCTAAACCGTTCGGGCCTTAAAACTACGTCCTCTTCTTTTTTTTCCCCCCTAACTAGCATTTCAGAATAAGGTTGTCACGTACAGAACAGCTAGCTCCAAAACACATTTTCAGAAAAAGGGAGACAGCTCAAGATGTATGTCTGTGGAGATTCTCCGTCATTCAGGTCATGGTAAGCCATCGATGTCAAATTCGTCTATAAAGTGAGGAGGAGCTTTGAGTCATCGCCGTATCCTCTGCCTGTAACAGTACTGACATCCCTCCCCTCAAAAGTTGCCCCATTTTTTAAAGAAACGGGCTGAAGATAATTGCTCGAAACGTGCAAAGCGCTGCATATTGTAGACTATTATTAGATTATATACAAAAATTTACAAAATAACTAAAACTAAAATTTTTTAAAAATTGTTCACAAACTAACTACATTTTATGTTGACTGAACTAACAAAAAAATAACAACTACGGTGAAAATGTCTTGGTTTTTATCTTTGTCACTTAATTTCATACATTAGCTTTTTTTCATTTTTTTTCATTTATTCAATTAGGTACCACTGTTCACAGCTGTACAGAAGTAGGAAGCTCAATACCTTTTTTTTTTTTAAATTTTGCACTCAACAAATACATTAGAAAAAAACTGAAACTCAATATATACAGTATATATGGTGTATAAAAAAACAAATACTAAAACCAATAAAAAAGTTTACTCAAATGCCGCATTGTCGAAAAAACAAAAACTCCGAAAAATCACCGAACCCTCTCTGAAAACTAATCAATTTAATTAAAGAAAATTAAAAAAAAAAAAAAAAAGTATAATGAAAAATCCATCGCATTGAACTGTTTTTTCACCATAGCGCGGCTTCCCTTCACATAGTCCGCTAAGTGCCTCATTGTCACGGCGTGGAAAAAGTGTGGCGTTGGACGCCCTTTTGTGCTCATTCCACAGCATTAGACAAAGGATGTTAGTGTATATCTATTCAGTCTCACTATAGAGAGGAAACTAACTAAAAATCTAAACAAAAACTGTATTTTGAGACGGCATTATGACATGAAAGCATACATATAGTTAAAGTTGCAGGAACTTGAGGTTATTTTTAAATAATTAATACCACTGCAGTTACCGGACATTACATCATGTCTGGACTTTTTAAAAAAAATTTTTTTATTGCAAATGTGTGAGAGTTTGGGTGTCTGTACCATGACATTGAGGTGGGAGTGTTAATGGTGTGTGTGTGTGTGTGTGTGTGTGTGATGTGTTATGTGCACCTTGTAACCGAGGATGGCCCCATTCCGCCTCGCCAGAGGGACAGGAGACCATGTGAGCAGGATTTTGGAGGAACTCACAGCATCAGCAGTCACATTGACAGGAGATCCCGATGGGACTGTGTGACACAAACACACACACACACACACACACACACACACACACACACACATTATTTTTTAAAAAGCAGTCATTTGAATTTTATTTTGTTCTTGAAAATGTTTTTCAATTTTCGTTTTAGTTGCTAGCTTTCGTTAACAACAACAACATTGAGATGGAGACGGTGTCTTTAGCGACAATTAACATTCCGGTGGACTCTGATCACACCGCAATTTGTTGTGCACAACAGAACTGCGAGGCAGATGTGCTAACCACTAGGCCACCGTGCTGCCTCTGTGTGAATTTATGTTAGGAAATAAAATAAATAAAAAAAATTTAAAAAGTCTCCCTCGGCTTCTCAAACTCGCCGCCTCACCTTACAAGAACACGGAAAGGAAAATGTCAGTCGTGACTTGAAGGGAGCACGAAGCAAAAAGTCATGAGGTGCTGGTGGCAGCTGGCAAAAGAAACCATTGGGCGCCTAACGGCGAACGGAAACGAGCACTGCTGGCAGCTGCTTGTCATCTCACAGCACAGTGGGCACGCTTGCGAGCTGCCGCACACGCCAGGGAACAATATAAGTGTGCCATGCGCTCGGGGGCCAAACGGATTATATAAGCAGATTCCTTTTCTCCCCCCCACCTCCTCCAAATCTCCAAAACAATGGATGGTGGAGTTATTTTGTTTCCTGCATATTAACACGAGCATGTCAACACAAGTGGAGACAAATCCCCCTTTTCTCCATCTCCTTTGCAGATTAAGACGCGGATACAATTTCGACAACACATTAGCCAAAATAGTTTTGTTTTTCTCCGTGCTGTAAAAAACACAAGACACAAAGCTACATGTCGTCTCTTTATGCTAGGATCAAAATGGCAACGTACATTACAAGAAATCCTCAGGGCGTTGCGTGGGGGAGGCTGGTAAAAAAAAAAAAAAACGATGAGCACGTCTTGTATTCGTCTGGCGCTACTATTTATCTATGTCCCCATTTCGATGAAGAGCTTTGTGACATCGCGCAGGTTTGATAGATTGCAGTTTCTTGTTGTTGGATGACACACTAATGATGGATCATCTTCATCCTTCGTTCTGTCATGTCAATCCGTCTAAACCGTTCGGGCCTTAAAACTACGTCCTCTTCTTTTTTTTCCCCCCTAACTAGCATTTCAGAATAAGGTTGTCACGTACAGAACAGCTAGCTCCAAAACACATTTTCAGAAAAAGGGAGACAGCTCAAGATGTATGTCTGTGGAGATTCTCCGTCATTCAGGTCATGGTAAGCCATCGATGTCAAATTCGTCTATAAAGTGAGGAGGAGCTTTGAGTCATCGCCGTATCCTCTGCCTGTAACAGTACTGACATCCCTCCCCTCAAAAGTTGCCCCATTTTTTAAAGAAACGGGCTGAAGATAATTGCTCGAAACGTGCAAAGCGCTGCATATTGTAGACTATTATTAGATTATATACAAAAATTTACAAAATAACTAAAACTAAAATTTTTTAAAAATTGTTCACAAACTAACTACATTTTATGTTGACTGAACTAACAAAAAAATAACAACTACGGTGAAAATGTCTTGGTTTTTATCTTTGTCACTTAATTTCATACATTAGCTTTTTTTCATTTTTTTTCATTTATTCAATTAGGTACCACTGTTCACAGCTGTACAGAAGTAGGAAGCTCAATACCTTTTTTTTTTTTAAATTTTGCACTCAACAAATACATTAGAAAAAAACTGAAACTCAATATATACAGTATATATGGTGTATAAAAAAACAAATACTAAAACCAATAAAAAAGTTTACTCAAATGCCGCATTGTCGAAAAAACAAAAACTCCGAAAAATCACCGAACCCTCTCTGAAAACTAATCAATTTAATTAAAGAAAATTAAAAAAAAAAAAAAAAAGTATAATGAAAAATCCATCGCATTGAACTGTTTTTTCACCATAGCGCGGCTTCCCTTCACATAGTCCGCTAAGTGCCTCATTGTCACGGCGTGGAAAAAGTGTGGCGTTGGACGCCCTTTTGTGCTCATTCCACAGCATTAGACAAAGGATGTTTGTGTATATCTATTCAGTCTCACTATAGAGAGGAAACTAACTAAAAATCTAAACAAAAACTGTATTGAGACGGCATATTATGACATGAAAGCATACATATAGTTAAAGTTGCAGGAACTTGAGGTTATTTTTAAATAATTAATACCACTGCAGTTACCGGACATTACATCATGTCTGGACTTTTTAAAAAAAATTTTTTTATTGCAAATGTGTGAGAGTTTGGGTGTCTGTACCATGACATTGAGGTGGGAGTGTTAATGGTGTGTGTGTGTGTGTGTGTGTGTGTGTGTGTGATGTGTTATGTGCACCTTGTAACCGAGGATGGCCCCATTCCGCCTCGCCAGAGGGACAGGAGACCATGTGAGCAGGATTTTGGAGGAACTCACAGCATCAGCAGTCACATTGACAGGAGATCCCGATGGGACTGTGTGACACACACACACACACACACACACACACACACACACACACACACACACACACACACACACACACACACACACACACTCTCTTGGGTCAGTGCTACTTTGCGCCAGCAATCAATCTGGTCCTTTATCCGAATCACCTCCACCATCCTCAGTCCTCGACTCAGTGAGTGAGAAGTAGAGAGGACCGGGCCGAAGGAGGTGACGCGAGGAAGTGTCTCAGGTGCTGTGAGTTCTGATAGTGCCTTAATGGGACTTCTTACATACTGAGTAGAACAACATTAGCCACACAGTCTAAAACACAGGAGTCAATGAGGCCTGATTCACTAAAGTGCCAAATAGCGGGCGCTAAATTGCGTGTTCACTCAACAGATTGTGTGTGCTAGCTGTTAGCTAGCTTTGATGGTTTGAAGTGAGGGAAATGGAAGTGTTAGTGGGAGAGGCAAATTAACAAACGATTAAGGTACTGAAAAGTACTTCATCACTCGGAAATTTTTTGGTGGGGACTACTGCAACCATAAACTACAAAAATCTAAATCTATCCATTGAACATGCAGTTTATATGCATGTATTGTGGCAGAGTATCAAAGGATAGAAGAAAAGTGCATCTGTTTAAAAATATCATGAAAGTCACAAATATGGAGTGTGGCCTTGGCCCTCACCGGCCACCACCTTGTTCTGTCCCTGCAACAAAGCTCTGTTCTCCTTGTCGCTTTTCATTTGGCCTGGATTTTGCTATAATACCCGGAGTCCTGGTTTTAGGCAAACCTTTAAGGCCCACTTACCAGATTCAGCCGTGCGAGCAGAGACAGCATCACTCCACGGGCCAGGTCCAATGGAGTTGTAGGCCTGTATCCGGGTGCGGTAGTGTGTCCAAGGGTCCAGGCCCTCTACGGTGACCTCGCCTGCGACTCCCTCAACCTCCACAGTCCGATCCTCGGCCAGTCCGTCCGTCCTGCGCACGCGCAGCCGGTAGCCCACCGTCTCCGGGCTGCCGTTGTACTCCGATTCGGGGAGAGGCTAAAGGTCAGTGTGGGGGCAGGGCAGGGCAGGGGGAGGGGGGGGGGAGATAAGGATGATCACAAAATATGTTTTCTGTTTTAGGTTAATGAAAAGGGAAGTACACCCCAAAATCCACCCTTATTTGCCATCTCATGGGGCGGCCGTTTTGCCACTTGCTGTCGACTGAAAATGACATCACAGTTGCTCAGGGCTCGGGTAACGACCAATCACGGCTCACCTGTTTTCTGAAGCTGAGCCGTGATTGGTCGTTACCTTAAAAAAATGGCCACTTGCTGAGAAGGACGCACACACACACACACACACACACACACACACACACACACACACACACACACACACACACGCACACTGTATATACAGCATATATGGTTGGTTAAGGGTTGAGGTAAATCACACTAGATTGACTCTCAATCTCCTCAAACATAAAAACTAGGCATGAAATGATGAAAAGTCATCATCATTTTGACTCCCAAAAAAAGACTGTGTGTGTGGGCACAAGTTGACAAAAGCCCCGAGCAGAATGAAGCTCAAGAACGAGCTGACAGTCCTACACTGTCATGTCACGAAAAGGGACACGGTAAGAGACGCATTTTGCTCCTGTGGTCATTTGAATGACACAGATGGTGTGGGAATCTAAAGTAGATCTTAAAAAACCTTTTACAATCTTCTCCCCTTTGACATCCCATCTCCTGATCACCCCCCTTTCCTGTGTCCCGTTCACCCTTCATCATCGTCATTGTCATCATCGTCATCCTTGCTTCCTCTCATTTCCTGTCACCGTCGCCTCACGTGCCCCTTTAGCCTTTATGCTTTGTCGCCTCAATTTCTCCACCATGTCATTATTTATTACCCTCCTTTCGCTGGGTAAAAGAGCTTGCAAGGCCACCGATGAATACAGCGGGCATCGGGCGCTGCTTGTTATTGCGCGGTTGACATCAAATGTGAGTTTTATTTCTTTCGCGATGCATTGACAACACTTGTAATGCTTCTTTACTCTGTGCAGATGGCCTTGGATAGTTGAGGATGCTGTGTGTTAGCATACCGGTTAAAAAAAGAAGAAACATTGGCATGCCCTACAGGTAGCTGCATGCTGTCCAAGTTTGATTTGACAGGGCAAGGCTCTTGTTTCAATTCCTTAAATGGAAAATTTCTCTGTTAGTGAGAGACGGCAGGGAGAAAAAAAAAATTGTACTGACGGAATTAAATGACAATGTTGTGAACGGAGCGGGTGATATGACAGGTTTAGGGTTTGCAACAATAAGCAGCAGAGAAGAGAAGAGGTGATCAAAATAAATCGTCAGGTGAAGTACAGATACATGAAAACTCTTCTTTAATGCCGTAACAACAGACAAATACCTCATCACTGTACTACTATCTAAAATCTACATTAGTACATGAACAAAGTATTTGTCTTTTGCGACTCAACTTAACCCTTTCAGGGACAGCCGTTACTACAGTGGACAGCTCATCATGTTATCAGGTTACAGGATGCACGAAAGGGTTAACGAGACTTTTCAGGTATCTGTAGTTTACTTGAGTATGTATTTTTTTTGACCACGTCTTACCTTAACTTCCAGCATTTGAAAGCAGGTATATGTACGTTTGACTGTTTCCCTTGTCCTATTTTCAACCTCCACGGAATACGACATGCCATAAAAATAAACGGTCAAGTCAAGAACGCTTGAGGTCTTGTGGATTTATTAGGCCGAAAAACCAGGGACAGCAGCGACATGGAGGAACGTGAACCAGAGAGCATTAACAAAAATGATGCAACAGACTCTGCAAAGATATCCGCCATCCATGGCCTCATTTAAAGGGAGAGAATATTCACACCCCCCACCCCCCCAAAAAGAAAAAAAAATCACTTCTTGTCACATATGTTAACAGTCATGACTTGCATGTCGTGCATAAGTGTTATCAGTGAAAATTGCCATCTCTGACCTCATTATTTTGCCTGTAATAATTGCAATAAACCACCATGCCTGAGGAAAAACAACCAATCTGAGAGAGAAGGCATGACTTGTAAGGTGTCAACCACTTGCTATGCACTCGTAGGCACATTCCTAGGTCATAAGCTGACCTTTTACCGTATACCGCTTTTAAGGGGGGGATGACTCGTGGTGGGGCTCGGTGCGTATTTCCCTTTCACTGATTTTTCCTTTTGCCTTTAGAACACCAAAGTACATTTCAAGTGTCTGTGCTTCCAATGAGGTACGGTGTGAGGGCCTTTGCCACTTTTGATTGCGAGCTAGTAGGCGCCAATGCTGGTGGGCAAACACACACTGTCAGCCTGAGCACAAATAATTCCCAAAGCTTAGTAGTTTGTATGCGGGTACCTTCCACCTGAAGCAAAGGCCGGTCTGCGTTGGAGACAACACGGTGAGGTTGGACGGGTGCGTGTCAGGGGCCGCCTGTAAGGTTTGGATCAGCCTGGAAGGGCTGCTAGGGGGACTGGAGCCCACAATGTTCACCTGCTGCATCCTAAACCTGCGGAGAACACACAAAACACCGCAGAAAGGTAATTCAACGGGTGCTGCTTGGAATTTGTGAAGTTACTATTAGAAAGAAAATCCAGTGAAATTATGCCATTTGTTGTTTGTTGGGTTATGTTCTTAAACGTACAACTAAATAAATGGACACAAACACATAAAATACACGTGTGCCTCGAGCTATGACTAATTCAAATCATCTTTCCCCATAGAAAAGAATGTAAATGCCATTAATCTGTTCAAGCACACTCCCCAAACTAACATTTTTTGTCTTTGTTTTATTTTTATAAAGGAAAATACTAATCTATAGTACCATACTTTAGAAAAGCATAGCATATTTAAATCAAATCTAAAGGATGAAACAACTTGTGGATTATGATTTAATGCTGCAATCCAATAAAATAAGACTTCCAGACACTGCGATATTTGTTATTTTGGTTGAGGACTAATACTATGTATATCGGTGAGCATTGCTTGATTCATTCTCTATCTTCATGTGTTGTTCCACCATTTGTGTTCACATATGTGTTGCTGAAAAAGTTGTAAACCTGTGACGATTGATGTCAACCGTAAAAATGTCAGTGGCATTTTCCACAGGCTTAACTTTACTTTTTTTTTTCTCATTTTCCATGTGGTTTCCATGATTTCGAAAATTGGTCAATCATTTTCCAGGTTTTCCAGGCCATTTGGGAACCCTGTCTATTTTTTGAGCATCAGTTTTCAATCCTGCTCACCCTACTCAGGGATCAAGTGAGAAACACAGTTCACACTTCCTGAGATGTTTGTTTTACACACATTGCATATACACAATCCAATTCACATTCATCGCACCTTCACAGGCAGAACACACGACCTGTGAAGAGAGCGAGAGAGCGATGTGGGACGGGGGGCTCAGCTGTGTCACCGGCTACATATTTAGTCAGGGGAAAATAGACAAACAAACAAACAAGCAAACGTGATAGCATATATCCAGACCATTCACAGGGGAGCGTTTGCTAGCTAAACAAATGCAGCCACACCTCTGATTGAACCGACACGGGCAGAGAGAGACGCCGTCTATGTTGGTATTTGGAAGGCGGGCTGAAAATGTGATAAGAATCAACATCCAAGTGTGCCACTCCATCTAATGCCCCAGCGGGGCCGACATGCGACAACCTAATCCTGCGGCATGCACCTGTGCGCACGTACACACGCGCGGCGTCATCCAAGACGAACGCGAAGATTGAAAGAGTTGCATGCAGAGCCGATGCCCAACACAAATACGGAGATCGGTTCGCGATCTTAACGAATGGTTCACTGTTTGCCAAACCGCTGAAAGGAGTTGAATGAAGTTAATAATCGTTTTACTATGTCAACAGTATGATAGATTCTGATCTTAAGCACACAGCTAAATGAAATTGAAGAATACATAATGAATAAAACTCATTCCTGGTATTACCAGTTTCAATGTATAATGAGTCCCAGATTTAAAAAAAAAATTATGATATGGAGTAATCATTCAAACTTTCAATTCAAGGTACAACCAATCGGCTCATTCAATGACTTTTATGCCTTCCTATTTATTAACTTATTAACATATTTTTACACTCACACGACAGTTAAGAACATTCGAACGTTTTCTGAAAAGCACTGCCCGTAAGTTAATAAATGTTGTCGACAGGTTGACAGATGATTTCCATGTGGTGGATTTCCTATGAGAAAAAAAAAAAAAATTAAACCAGAAGAAATTGGGAATGAGCAAAGTGTCATGGCTCTCTCATTCCTTCTCTACCTCCTCACTCCTCTGTCCACTCTGTAATAACCTACCATCCCCCTTTTCCTCATCTCCATGCTTCTTCGGGTTGCTCATCACTTTCTCCGCACACCTTGCTCACCCCCCCTCCCTCCTTTCGCCCCCCCCCCCGCGCTATTTGCTATTTGCAGGAGGGTAATGAGGATCTGCATGCAGCAGCTGTGAAGGTGCTGACAAACAAAAATAGTCTCATATGGAACTGTCTTTGTGATTTATCTGACTTCACCCAAGGCTTGCAATACAGCAAAAACTGCCAGAGAGTAACATTTGGGAGAGAGTCAGACGTGTGTGTGTGTGTGTGTGTGTGTGTGTGTGTGTGTGTGTGTGTGTGTGTGTGTGTGTGTGTGTCCATAAATGGGATGGCACTACTGTGTGTATGTGCGTTTGCTGCTTACCTATACTGAGTGAAAGGGGTGAGGTTGGGGATCTCCAGACTGTCAGCGCCGGCCTGGTTGTCCAGCTGGTAAACAAGCCTCCAGGCGTCTTCCGCGCCGTCCTCCTTCACCACCTGCGATCACCAAAGAGGCAGCATTGTGCGAGGGGCTCGTCAAGGACAAATCGGGTTTTTGGGCAGATGTTGCCGAGACGCCGGCGCCCACCTGGCCTTCGACGAGCCATCGCGAGATGGCCGTCTTCCCATCAGGACCGGGCCGGAAGCGCAGGGTCACGGTCCGAGGGCTGATGTTGGAGATGACCAAGTTGGAGGGTGCACCGGGAAGTTCTAGAGAACACAGAAAGTTCAGTTTAGTGACACGGAAAGGGAAGGAATAAAACGGACAAAAAGAAACCCTACACATGGCACATTTATGGGAGGGTAGTCACAGACAGTTCATGAAATCATCAAACGCCACCTGCTGCATCTGGTTGGTCGGTGCCCCACTTGGCCCCGATGCAAGTGGACTGTGATGGCACAAAGTGAACACAAATGCATGTTTTGTTGTTATATTTTTAAAGGATTCTGGGTTGTGGGAAGAGACAAATAACTTGCTCTGATGACATCGTAACAAAATAATGAGACCATGGGACCAAATGTCTGCATTTTGATTACAAAAAATAAGTACTGTAAGTTATTTATAGACTGATACATGTTGTATCTCTTTGCATTGCTAACATTTTCATGTGGCTATATATGTGGCATTCAAACATGAGCACTGAATACAAGACATTCGAAATTTGCAGAGTCTCCACCGAAATATTTCTTTTGTGCTTTATAAATGTAAATAGGATCGAGAAAAAAAACTACAATGGTCAGAAAGCGATAAAGGCTCCAAATTTTGATTCAATCATGGTTTCACTGCACTTTTCACCTAACCGTATCAAACAAACAAACAAAGACAACAAAAACCAAGAAATCGCTGCTGTAGTTCTTCACAAGAGGGGAACTGCTACATGTACTTTCCGAAAGTCATCTCTGAATGCAGGCAGGTCAGTTTGCAAAAAATGCACAAATATGTCTGGAGTCTGATTAGATTTGTGATTGGAATACCGTGAGTCCATTTCTTGTTCCTTCGGGCTGTCATGTGCATGTAAACGAACATTTGCAGGTCTGGAAGACGACAAATTTAAAAAAGGAGCGAAAGACGTCAGAATTTTGCCATATTTGACGTGTGCAAATGATCTCAGTCAGCTGCTCTTTACTTTAATCTACATAAAAAGGTTACACCATCCATTGTCTGATCCGCTTCTCATCGCGAGGGTCGCGGGCGTGTTGGAGCCTATCCCAGGCGTTTCGGGACAGCAGGCGGAGTACACCCTGAACTGGTCGCCAGCCAACCTGACCCGCATGTTTTTGGAATGTGGGAGGAAACCGCAGTACCCGGAGAAAACCCACGCAGGCACGGGGAGAACATGCAAACTCCACATGAGGAATGCTGAAGCCGGAATCGAACCTTGCACCTCTGCACTGTGAGGCCGATGTGCTAACTAACCAGTTCCCAATGTGCCGCCGTACAAAGTTACATTGATTCATTTTTCTGTTTAATTCTTATTCCATGAATGCGGTACTTTCGACCATCTGCTCTGCTCAAAAATCAAACCAGGAAGAGGAAGAACATAAAGCTGTAAGTTATTTTTATTTTTTTTTAAGTAAGAGTACTGTATGACATGACGAGACGATGCAGAGAAGATCAACGTCTGGCGGTGAGCGATGACTTCAACGCAAGGTGCAATGTGAGTTCATTAGGGCCAGACAAGTGCGGGCAGGGAGCCCCGTTAATCATGTTTGACCCCCCGTTAATTGCTCCATCTCCGCGGCAAGAACGGATGAAGGGGAACCGTCAGCGCGCCTGACGTCTTTGCGGCTGCCAGCAAAAAAGGCAACAGCTCCCACTTTGTGATTGTCACGTCCAAGTTGCCAAAAATATAATTACAAACGTACTCTCGAAACTCGCCTTGTTTCGCGGCAGCGTGTGCTGGATCGAATTGGGCACTGCCTCGTAGGTAGACCATGATGGAAAAACAAACAAACAAATGCAATTTTGAGCCAGATGTGCAACTAGCGTACGTAACTCACTAAAACAATCAGTGTAACACGCCAAACAAACACATTTAATAACTAAATCAGCCAACCTTCCTACCGACATGACCACGATTGAAGCAGATCACAACTATGGTGGATCTAAAAAGTCTACACACCCCTATTGAAATGGCAGGATTTGGTGTGTGAACACAAATCATTTCAAAACATTTTCCACCAATAATGTGACTTTAAACCAGTATTGGTGTTTAAAAAAATCTTTCTCATAGGTTAAGGAAAAATTACTGAAATAACATAGTTGCATAAGTGTGCACACCCCCTTATACTGGGATGCGGCGAGGTGTTCCCAATCAAGCAGTCCCACTCAAAGTTGTTAATTGGAGCTGGCGTATACTCGCCACCGTTTAAAGTTCATCTGATTAGCCCCGAAATTATGTTCGGATGTTTTAGTAGGCTTTTCCAAATATATGTTTGCTTTCTAGCAGAAGCCTGAAAGTTTTATGCTCATCTTGACTGCTATTTCAAACTGTTTACTTTATTTCGGGGCGAATCGGAGACACTTTATACGGCGGCCGACGTGTGCTGATTCTCATTTCATATGAATCTCAAGGTGATTATTTCATTGTGATCACTTCCCCTCTTTGAAGGATGACTTTTTACAGCATATAGGCAGCATCCACACGGGATACCTGCCTAATTACGTAAGTACATTCATCCAACGTACAGTATACAAACACTATGGCAAAGCTAACTAACCAAACCATGGGAAAGTTCCCTCAGTGTGATGTAGTACATTTTAATAAAGCGTTTCAAATACAATAAGGAAAAAAAAAATACACATATTATGAAATTACTGCATCTTTTGCAGAACATCATTATTATTACAGATCTCGCAATCGTAGGGTATGTTATGAAATGCAGACGCACCGAATGGTACGGCCGGTGGTCGCAACGTAGAATTTGCGTGAGACAATTTGCGGCGAATATGTAATTGCACGCCTTATTTAGCTTCAAGGCGCGCGGAGCCGCGATTATACTTTGCCAGTTATGAGCTGGGATACATTACACATCAATGATGCGCTTTTAATTTGCACAACTGGAAGGAAAAAATTTAAAAGTTAGCCGGCTTCTTCACTGACAGCTGCTGGAAACATGCCTGGCAGGCGGAACACAGGCAATATATGTACAAGCTTGTTTCTGTTAATAAAATGTCAGCCGGCGAAGCAGGGAGGGGGGGAAAAAAAATCTCATTCCATTTTTGCGGAGGATCGCCTCACTCAATCTCAACAAGGGCGAGCACTTCAAACTATGTTGGGCGAATACTTGATAACTGCGGACGCTCTAAGTGGTCTCCCGTGATCGGCTCTGATCCGTACGATTCTGCAACGGCGTCGTATTTTTGTCAACGTGGCAGAATACAGATTGGAATAGCCCGGTATATATATTTAATAATTTGTCGGCCGGATGAGCATTAAAAAGACCCGCGGAGAGGGATTCTTTGTGTTATCGTGAGCGGACTGGCAACAAAAGGACAACTGTAAGCTGGTGTTGTGATGATGATGTTGACACGCTGCGACTGGCTGTGATGAATGATCAAATGCGGCGAACTTCATGAATACATGAATAGAGAAACAAGATAAGAATCCAGGAATCCCGAGTCTCTCTCTTCATTCTTTTGTTCCGTTTGAGCATCTTTAATCCTTTGGCCCCCGTCTTTCTTTGACTAGTTTTGCTTTCATGAATTAATGAATATCCCGCGAATCTAAGAACTGTCTGCATTCATCTTTGCTCGCACTCTTCCTGCTTTTATTCATGAATTAGTCATCAGAAAGTGTTAGCGCGCGCATGCACGCACGCACGCACACAAATCCTGATGTTCAAGCCGAGTTTTGCTTCCACGCTCCTTGTTAAGTCTCGCTGCCTTTAGGACAAATTTTGTTCTGCCTCATTATGTTTTTTTTTTTCCTACTAACTTTTATTTTTTTGGGGGGCTCTTTTGATGACCTCTTGTCCGTCCAAGCGCAGACATCTCGAATCAGTCCGCTAGTAGAATGACTGCTGATGAGCCGAACAAGTGCAATCACACGAACTCAGCAGGCACACCGAAGCCAAGTCCTCTCTGAGATATACTGCAAATCACACATTGTGCATGTTGGTCTGACTGGAGCTGATGAGTCATGCCGAGTCTTGCGCTAACCGAGAGATGAGCCATGTACAGTATAAGGACATGAGACGGAAACCAAATGAACACCACATAACGGCTACAATGGACCATCAAACTCGTAATAATTAAAGTTTAGATTACCAGTAGGTAGATACTACTTATTATTGACTCTGAAGCAAATTCTGGAGAAAGAAAGGTTTTAAAATGGTTCAGTGGTGATCCAGTGCAGTTTGAGCCGAATTATGTAGGAGACTACGGCTGGAATTTCAAACCAGCGTCGACAACAGCACCACAGGAGTAACTTGTGAGGCTGTTCTGAAACCAGGAATCGTGTTTCACCGAGGAATGTGCTAAATGTGATCATTTGAATGGATAAAATGTTTCTTGGGGGGGGGGGGGTTGTCCCTGTCATGAATTAATTCTATTTCTTAGGTAGAATTATCTTATTTCTTTGTTTGGGATGAAATAGATACAAAAACAAACAAACAAACAAATGAAATGTTGACCACGGGGGGTCAATTGCATCGACCTCAGTGCAGAGGTTTGATTCCGGCTCCGTCCTACCTGTGTGGAGTTTGCATGTTCTCCCCATGCCTGTGTGGGTTTTCTCCGTCCACTCCAGTTTTCTCCCACATTCCAAAAACATGCATGGCACGTTAATGGGACACTCTAAATTGTCCTGAGGTGTGAGTGTGAGCACGAATGGTTGTTTGCCTGTGTGCTCCCTGTGATTGGCTGGCAACCAGTTCAGGGTGGTCCCCCCGCCATGCCTGATGACACCTGCGATATGCTCCAGCATGCCCGCGACCGTCATGAGAGTAAGCGGCTCAGATCATGGATGGATGGATGGATGGATTTTTTCAAGGGTTTTAGCTTTAAGGAGTACAACTTTATGAAGGTTAAACATGTGAGCTAACTGACATATTAAAAACCTTTGACAGGTCAATCTGTTTTCCTCGTACCTGGAGGGACGCCCGTGGAGATGTTGGACGACGTGACCACGCCCCGTCCGGCAGCGGTCAGCGCGGCCACCTTCAGCCTGTATGTGGTGGTGGAGGTGAGGCCCGTGAGCTGGTACTGCAGCGTGGAGTTGGACAGCGCTCGCTCCTCACGCCTGGACTGCACGCCGGACACCTCCCACCACAGCATGTAGCCTGAGGGGGACGCATGCCGTCATTAAAATGGCCGCTTGTACGCTTGACAAGCGAGTGTACATATTGCTGTGCTATTGAGGCCCAAAAAGTAAATAAATAACGCTGGAAAGTAGGAAGGAGTAACTCCAGTCTAAAAAGTCGAAATCTCTCTCTGTCCCATCACATCTTCACAGTCATACATCACACTCTGGCAACTTCAAACGTGTGCGTGAAAACCATATTCCTGTGTTGGTGTGTAGCCCGGGAGAGAATGCGCCGTCCCTCCTGAGTCCCTATAGGCTCACAGGGCGCAGGATGAAAAGCAGGCAGAGGATTAAAGAATAATGCGTGAGCTGATCTTGACTGAATGAATTGGCTCACACTCTGCTGTGTGGCTAAGACAAATACGCAGGTGCTACAGCAGCCTCGTGTCATTTACGCCGTGGTCTTTGGTTTCAGTTGTTGGGTGAATGAAGGCAAGTGGAATTTTCGCGGCCATTCCAGCCAGTGCGGCCGACACGAAGCAGTGATAAAACATGCACCGCGCTGAGGGATTTTGACAGATATGTTTGTCGCACCGTCTCTGCCAAAGGGAAGTGGTGGCCTATAAAAAAAAAAAAAGTTTGCAAAACACAGCCTGGACTGAGAGATAAAGACGGGTGCTGCTCCATTCTGTCGTCAATGCACGTCTGGTCGGCACGAATAAAGTTACGAAATATGGTCGTTTGAGTCATTCGGAGATGGTGGTGCACCCAAGGAAGTTGCAATGTCGTCCTCAGCAGGTGAAAGCAGGTATGTTTGTGTTAAACAACCCACGAGGAGGCCGGCTGGCGTTATAGCTCACAACATTAGTGGTTCTTCAGAAGGTGCAAAAGATTGGTGACCCGAGCCGCTACATACTCCTCAGTATGTCTAGTTGATTAATGACAGCCAATTTCTTAAGCACTGCAACCTTCTCAGTATGTTCGAGACATAGTGGGATGCCTCTGTGATCAAGACTAACAACAAAAATATGTCTCCTGTTTTGCTTGCAACTATCTGTTTTGTTTTGTTTTTTTTTGGCGCCAACATTTCCCTTCACGGCAGATTTTGAAAAAGACATTACTCGGACTGGATGACAAGATATGTTTTTCTTCACTGGTGTCACTTCAGAAACATGTTTCACCGAAAGCCGTCATGAGCCTTGAGCTATGGTAGACCAAAATTGCTCCGTGCCCAGTGAAATGAACCATTTTGCATTTTTGCAAGGTGGGTGTCGTAGGGAGTCTTAATTTCATTGAAGCGACATTATTATTGAACTTTTGCAGGAAATATTATTTTATAATCTCAATATTTATGATGTCCAGTTTTTACAACTGACATCATAAATCTTGGCTTGAGAAAAACTCAACATTCCACGGGGAGAGGCATGTATGCGTGCGCCTCTATTCCTAACATGCTCCAATCCTTGTACAGGGGAACAGGTGGTCCACGTCAAGAATTTCCACGATTCAAAACATCCCTCAGTGGTTCTCGAAAAGAGATGAAGGCAAAAATGTGTGCATGCACGCGCGCGCGCGCGCGTGTGTGTGTGTGTGTGTGTGTGTGTGTGTGTGTGTGTGTGTGTGTGTGTGTGTGTGTGTGTGTGTGTGTGGCCCAAGTTCCGTGACGTGCCAGCTGAGGCCTTGTTGGAGATAATGTGAGAAGACAAGCTGCACAGAGTGGAGATTAGTAGGGTGACGAAACGGTTGCACACCATCAGAGGGACTCAGCTTGCCTTGGGCATTGCATGCATCCAAAACACCCAATGAAGACGGCCACAGAAAATGTACATATTTTACTTGTACATTTTGTGTGTGTGTGTGTGTGTGTGTGTGTGTGTGTGTGTGTGTGTGTGTGCAGGTGGGGAGAGAATTTGACAGTCCGTTCGAAGCTTATGACAAGGGTATGCGCGAAGTGCATCGCAAACCTTGACTGAGCCAAAAGTCAAAGCACATCTTTTAAATTGGAAAAATCTCACAGCACACCACCACGCAAAAATATCATCAAAAGAATATCCAATCATCCCTTCCAACAGGGGTGTCAAACTCATTTTTGTCGCGGGCCACATTGCAGTTACGGTTTCCCTTGGAAGGCCGTTATGAATTTTGGGAAACCATATAAATGTTTAATCCCCTCCACATATTACATACACAGCGCACAACAAATTGATGAATAAGTAGTTTTAAAATCAGAAGTCAAGAATAATGACTGTTATTGTGGATTACATATGACAATTTGAAATTTTGGTTCAGACTCGAGCAAGCATCGTGGAACTTGACATGCGTGATTTGCTTTCATGGGCCGCATAAAATGATGTGGCGGGCCAAATCTGGCCCCCGGGCTTTGACTTTGACACCTGTGCCTTACAATTATCATTCGCTAATTTTATAGAGCCTACCACTGCTAGTTAGAAATTGTAATCCCTCCACAGGTGTTAGGAAAGTGGGAACATACAGTAGACAAAGCAATCAGCTGATTGCATAAATGAGAAAAAATACAGCAAAAACAAGCACATTGACAGATAACCCAGCCGATGGCCCCCACTGACACTGTCATTCAACACGCCGAGTGGCTCACGGTTTAACCGGTTAACAGACAGCCAACTGTACATTCACCGTCGCTGATGTTCACGTCACTCAAGAGACCAGGCTCGACTTTTAAAGGCACACACGCACTTAACATCACAGATACTACAGTGTCGAGGGTTTCGACCCCCAAGTGGACAGAAATAACCACACATTGCATATATTTTGGTATTATATGCACAAAGCTTGAATAAATAAAGATTATTTGCAGTGATTACAGAACATAATCATTTTCAGACCAATTCAGTGAAGTTGGATATACTCGTGAAACATAGCTGGTTTCGCGGCACACGAATGTGTTGAATTTGTTAGCATTTAGTTACAAACTTACCGGTAATAATGCCATTCTTTTCTTCAGGCTCTGCCCAGCTGACTTGCACGGATGTGTCCAAAATTTTGGTGAAACTCAAATGACGGACAGGTCCAGGGGCTGAGAAAAGAGAGTCAGAACGTGTGAAAATAGAGCCGATACACTTTTAAGTTGAATAGCAGAAATTGTAAAAAAATAATAATAATAAATAATAATAATAAAAATCATTCAACACAAAGATAACACTGGCGAACAATTTTTTAAAACTTGTGTTGAGTGAGATTTATATGCCGCTTAAATCTAAAATTAGCATGCCGATTCCAAAATTGCAGTCTGTTTTCCAGATAGGTAAAATTCCACAGATTAGCTGTTGTAAGACTTGCCATCTCATTACGATAGGACAGCTACATGGCAACTTGTGGATCCACAATTGAGAGAGTCTGGTGAGAGGTGCGTGCAGCTCCCACTATAATCCAACACAATATGGAAAATTGATTTGATATACCTTGAGATGCAAGTAACACGACTTTTCACGATACAAATAATTTGAGCAGGGTATCAGTGATTTTGGGATGAAGTCAGCCTTGATGGAGTTCCTCTTTGGCAAAGCCTTTGTTCATAAAACTTCAGGAAAATAGCCCTACGTGAAGTCAGAGGACATTTCAATCGGGTCGAGATAAGTACAAAACATAGAGAGTTGTGAGGAGTCTGCACACACTATTATCATGCTGCCAACCAATCATGCCGGCATTGACCACTGTTCCACGCGCGCGCACATGAGCGCGCGCACGCTTTTCCATGCGTGCCAGCCATTTTTCATCTCATCCATGGCTCCCTAAGCTCCTCTCCCAGCAGAGCGATTAAGCTATTCGGCTGAGACATTCAATAACACACACACACACACACACACACACACACACACACACACACACACACACACACACACACACACACACACACAAACCCCATCATCAAGCAAGAATTACATCCACCGTTAACCCTGCAACACGCCCAGCACCCGATCAATGCCCGTCAACCATTATGTGTGTGTGTGTGTGTGTGTGTGTGTGTGTGTGTGTGTGTGTGTGTGTGTGTGCGCGCGCGCATGGCTTCTCATAGCAGTCCCCCACTCAATAATTGCTGCTTGCTCATGACAGCTTGTCTATCCGCCGTCGGCTATTGTGTTCACTTGACAGTGCGGCTGTGAGCGTACTTGCGGTAGAGGAGTGGTGGCCATTGTTTACCCACGTTGCCTGTAGTAACAAACATGCCTGAAAACAAATGTATACAGTTCTATCTAGCGGTGCCGTGAGTTGTGAATTTAAACTGGTCTATGACCGTGCTTGGAACTGAAATCATTTGTATGTCAAAATCATCATCCCCCACTGACAAGAAAACACCATTGACCGGTTCCAGTGCTCAAAAAAGCACACACATTAATGTTTTGTAATGTTTAAAAAAAAAAAAAAAGAAGCTCTGTGCAGTAGTTGGCTTGAAAAAAAACCAAAACTGATAATCTAAACCTTGGCCTCCAGGGGGCAGTATAATACATACAGACATATTACACATCTATTTGAACAGAACAAAAAAAAAGGTCATCGAAGCTGCAAGTGACCTTTTCTTCACAGAGGAGAAAGAATATATTTTGAATATTGTTGTATGCTGTCCACATGTGTTGGTAGTGCTGGTTTAAAGACGAATTACCGCAACTTTGATGCCAATTTCTTGATCCCGTCAAAGGCCTTTTGCATTGGGTGTTAGTATGAAGCTGACAGAATTGATAAAACTAAAAAAAAAAACTCAGTTCACTCATAAACTGAGGTGCCACTGGGCTCCTCAGTCAATTAATAGAGAACAGGTTTCAAAGTAAACATGGTGATGCGGCATTTAAGTGTTATACTGCACGCATATGCAATAAGCTGCCAAAAGAACCAGAGTCAGCACCAAATGTAAATACTTTTAAATCCAGGCTATTATTCCCCCCCCTCCTCCAGCTTTGATTAAGGCCTTTTCATCATTTATAATCAATTTCACTGTCAGTAATTTTAGGAAGTGACTTTTTATTTCTTGACTTTGCTTTCAAACGCCTTTCAAACTTTGTCGATATCTTTAAAGATACATTCGATTAATATCTCTTCATACGCTAATTTTGTTCTCTTTGCTTTGCTCTTAAATGTCTTGAGCTGTTGGTCTGTAAAGGCTTTTCGGTCTCGTGCAAGACATTGAGTGGCCTTGTGTATGAAATGTTGTGATAGAAATAAAACGGCCTTGCCTTGCAGCTGTGTAGTTTCCACTTGTCGGCGAATGGAAAACTCATCGGGGGGTGCTTGTACATAATAATGAAATGACCAGACCTCCGGCAAGGCTTAAATACAGTATTTGTTATTTGCAAAATCACTATGACTTAGCAGGCAAAGTTCGATCCAGCTCTGCTATTTCCCCTGGATCCGCAGGACCAAAACGTAATATAATCAAATTACTAACTGATTTGATGAGACCGGACAGACATAAACACCTGAATTATGTTACATGGGATTAAGCAGATTCAATTCAATTTGGTTGCAAATGTGCAATCTGGATGAGACTTTTTTGGGGGTTTGTTTTTATAGCTCCTGACCCATGCTTACACACACACACACACACACACACACACACACACACACACACACACGCTTAATTTGTTTTTCGAGTTTGATCATTTATATTTTGGAATGAGATTTGTGTGACCTTCTCAAAGTGGATAGGGAACCACAAAGTAGCAAATTTAGAAAATATGGGAGAATATATTTTCACCCAAAAATTGGACCCATTTCTGTTCAGGCCAAAACCATGTCTAATATTAAAAAAAAAAAAAACACCGCTTTGGCTCCATCTTGTGGCATGGTGGGGATGAAGCACTATTTTGACGTGATGGGCGGCGCTTCATTCAGTCAGAGAAAAAAACATGTTTTCTGCCATCTTGTGGAACCCATAGGGAATTCCAAGCTTTTTAGAGTGAGCATTAAATAATTACTTGCAGATTTTTGCTGTTTCAAGCAGGGCTCGTTCAGTATCCCCTGGAAAGAGTGGTGGGCTCAGTTGAAGTAGAAAAAAAAGATACTTTTACATCATCGTTTTCATCATGTGATGATATATTGACAAAAGATTCGGAACCCGCTCACCGGGGCCTTTAATCTGAGATGCGACCTGATGTGATTTTATTTATTTTTAGTCACTCAGCCTGGCAAGGTCAAACAGCATGAAAAAGAAATCACGTTTTTCTGCGCTAATCAGGTCAGTGTGAGCAAATAATCGATGAAGCGATATCTTGGGACACAAAATGCGCACATCACCAGTTATGTCAATACAGTTGCATTCTTGCTTCGAAGGGTGATTTTTTTAATTGAACTGGGACTGAAATCCGGCGGGTGGTCTTTTTTTTGGGGTGGGTGCATATACTCACTGTCCTCGTGTGTTTGGAGCATGGTAGGAGGGCTGCGTGGTCCGTCTCCAGGTGTTGTGAAGCACAGGATAGAACCGAAGTACCAGGTGAATTTCCTCAGTCCACTAACCAGGCCCGTATGGCGCGAGCTGGGGTAGTCCGGGGTGATGGTTACAACGATGACATCCTCCGGAGCCCGTTCCGGCCAGACCAGCAGCTACGGCAGGGAATGTGAAAATAGGAATATTTATAAAGTTCATCTAGACTGCCATCAGCATCTGAACTTTTACAGTCAAACACCCCTTGAGGTTGTCCATCCGTCCATTTTTATTTCACCTTTTTCTCATGAGGGCACATCGATGATAAAGCATCCACACTCACATTCACATGGACGGGCAACTTCAGATCTCGAGTGAAGCTAAAACGTACATTGATAAATCTTATCTATGTGAAGAAATCTCTCTCTCTCTCTCTCTCTCTCTCTCTCTCTCTCTCTCCCTCTCTCTGAGAGTGTGGTGCTGGATACAGTGAAACATGTCAAGGGATCTTAGTTTTTTTCCTCCGTTGGCTTGCCCGCTCGTTCTCCTTCCGAAATTTCCGGCCTGGCAGCCAAGTGGGCGGGTGCACATGCGGCAGTTTCACAGGATCACGCCCATTTTCCGCTCAATCTGTCAAATCGCATCTACCTTGCCCGCCCACGACAATGTATTAGCACGCGGGTCGATCCCTCCCCGTGCGAAAATAGCATTGTAATGGAAATCTAAACGATGTATTAACGCTCGGTCGCTGCCGGGTGCACATTTACATTTGTCACTGTAATAACAGCGGTTTGAGCAAATCAAAGCAGTGACGAACCGCTCCTGAGGCGAGATGCATTGTGTTCACAGCGTGGTGAGATATCTTAATTACACTTATCAGGTGCGAACAATCAACGACGACACCGACAAATTGTTGATAAGGCAAAAGTAGCACGCACTATCAATAACGAGCAGGGCTTCCTTGCACGTTCCCTCCAGGATACGCTGCGCTCCATTAGATTCCATCTGACTGCAGCATGGATTTCTTTAAGCAGTCTCTCTGAAAGTCAAATGATTCATTATGCCCTGCCGTGTCCACAGCTGGCAGCGCGTCGACAACTTCAATCCGAACACGTCAATTTATTCAATCATTATTAGACTGAGAATGACGCTGCTTGACAGCATCACCTGAAAAGAGGCGGTTCTAAAAATAATCACGTGTTTCATGGCCAACAGTCTGGCACATAACAACGATACAAAGTGAGTGGTGCCTTGACCTGCGAGTTTGAGTTGTTCTGAGACCAAGCTTGTAACCCAATTTAATCGCCTATCAAAGCAATTTTGTTGAAATTAATTGAAGATGTTCCAACCACCAAAAAGATTGATTTACTTTCTGAATTTTGAAAGAAAAAGTCAAACACCAATTGATCGTAAATATCCATCCATGTGTGCATTTTCTGATCCGCTTTATCCTCACAAGGGTTTGGGGGAGGGGGGTGCTGGAGTCTATCCCAGCCGTCGGGCAGTAGGCGGGGGACACCCTGAACCGGTTGCCAGCCAATCGCAGGGCACACAGACGCCTTCACCACTCGACCACCGTTAGCCCATAAAAAGCCATAAATTAGCCTCATCAGTCGCAGGGTTTAAAGCATGTTGGGCAAAAAAAAAAGGAGCAGCTTATAGTCGGGGAAAATATGGTCAAACACAATACAAGAGAAACACGAAGAATCTGTTTCATAAAGTTTAGTTTAGCTTCATGTCACACATCCAGTAGTTGTGGTATTTGTTGACGTGTGCCTTTGAGGGGCGTGGCTTTGTTATGCACAATCCAATTCCTTTTAGCCGTTATTATTTTCAAGTGACGATTCATCAACAATCAATCCGATGGATTTGACGGAATCCCAACCCTCACCACACTTCGAAAAGAAAGTCGTCGCATGTTGTTTGCCAAATGAACAAACCTCGAGAAACACTTTACAACTCCATTCAGCCGTCTTAATTGCTACGCCGCGCCTAAGGCCCCAATCAACCATTGAAATGTGCCACTGACCGCCATTTAGGGAGAACGCCAGAGACAGCCGGACACTTTCTAGTAGTCGTTTTTTTTTTTCTCCACGCCTCAGGGTGCCCTGCTGAAAGCCAGGCCTGCCGTGGCAAGATAAGGGCTCCTATTGTCGTTTATTATCGCCGGAGTACAGTTTGGGCGCAGTAAGAGTGCTGATTTGGCACCTGAACATCTGATGGAAGTCCCTGCGCTGCTGTTTTTTTTTTTTTTTTTTTTTTGAAAAGGGTGCCAAAAGGGATCTGTCGCGCGATTGCCATAGTGACATGCTGGACTGGAGACACTGAGACGAGTTTAATTCACTGATGAGCGCTCGTCACAAGCAAGCACGTCCTGTGCTGTACGTGAATCACAGCGTTGCCATTTTTAATGAGCCAAGTTCAACTTGAAAAGTCTCAAAGCCACATCCCCCCCCCACCCTCTCAAAAAATAATAAACTCCACAGCACAAGTTGCGTTGACTCCAGCACAGATGGACTTGCCTTTACAAAGACAAAAAAAAAAAAAAAAAAGCCTAATGGAGATAAATTGCCAACACAATTAAGATTTATCACTTTTTTTCTTTTTTTTTTACTCATGCTCAGTTTTATAGTACATGGCGCTTCCCTTTTGTGTCTACTCTGTTTTTCCTCAACGGTGTCGGCTATTAAAGTTCATTTTGAATTTGAAATCTGTGCTGCACTTTCATACAGTTTGTACTGTATCTTTTTTTTACATTAAGATTGTAGAAGTGATACGATTACTTAATTAACAACTAATTATTAAATTATTATCAAATTATTTGACCATTTTGTGGACAACAACAGGAAATAATTTATTAATATTTGTGGATTTTCCGCACTGTCCCTTTTAAATATTGTCCTGTTTTTTATTTTTCATAAAGGAAAGGAAATTAAAATGTTTTTAATCTGAATCCTTGATTAATTGACAAAATAATCAATAGATTAAGCATGTATTCAAATAATTGCCAGCTGCAGCCCAATAAGTTAGTTTTAATGAGTTTTTGGAGTGGGTTTGTTACTTTTTGTGAGTTTGGAAAAAAACCAACATTCAGGCCATGCGCAAACACTCGCGAATCCTTGATTAATTGACAAAATAATCAATAGATTAAGCACCTATTCAAATAATTGTCAGCTGCAGCACAATAAGTTCGTTTTAATTAGTTTTTGGAGTGGGTTTGTTAGTTCTTATTAGTTTGACAAAAAAACAAACAAGCAACATTTGGGCCACGCGGAAACACTCACAAACCTTTGCCTCGCTGCATTACAACATTGACGCTAATTAGCGTTCAAATTACCAGTAAGATCACGAGGCCTTTTTTTAAAAAAACGTTTGGATGTTTTAAATACAGAAGTTCACTTTTTATATCTTATCTTTTCTCATTTTATCTTTAGGTTGACAGTGATTGACAGAGAATTTCTCCTGGGAATGGCATAAACGGCTTTGGTATCGAGTCACTGCAATTTAAAAAAAAAGAACGCGCCAACAATGTGTCATATCTTGATAAACTCATTAGTTGGGTCATTTGTCTCTCAAGGCACCACTGCACAATACTTTTATCAACACGCTCAACACATCCATAACCCCAAAATGATCCCTGTGACTAAGAAAAAGTTTTTCCTTGTAGCTTATTTAAATGAATGTGCAGAAAAAGTTCAAGGCACCTTTTTAAAATATTGAATAACCTTTATAAAACTATAAATGTATTACAAAATTATGAGCTGCATAATTATATCCATGCCAAAAAGGGGCTTGCGGTTATAATTGTGACCTCAGTATTATTAAATACTGTCTCGCTTTTTACTTTGTATTAAAATCTCTAATTTTGGAATCGTGATCGAGTTAAACAATGACATCCTCTGGAAGTTTTAAAAAAAAAGTTAACTGTATCAAGTGCATTTTAATTAACTTTTTTTTGGGGGTGGGGGTAACTTTTACCTTGTCACCGCTTTAAGATAAGATATAACAAAACCTTTATTTGTCCCACATTGGAGAAATTCCCATTAATTTTAATTTTTTTTTTTTAAATTAATCGCACTGTAGTACGTTTGTTTACCTTGTATCCCTGGTTGATGCCGTTGATGAACTGCTGAGGCGGCGGATTCCATGTGAAGCGGAGCGTGGTGGAGTTGATCGCGACGACTTCCACTTCCTGTGGAGGAGCTGTGGGAACTACACAAACATACCGTATATAGCCACGGTGGTTCGCCAAGAGGACAGAACAAGATACAAAACACACGCGTCAGAAATAGAACAACACGCCACACAAATGCATACTCGCGACGGAGAACGCAAAATAATTTTTAGATGACAAATAACGTTCTGAATGCCGATCACTTTTTCCATTTCGAGTAGCCGTTCCTGCCTGACTTGTAAATACGGAAGGCTGGCCTCATTGCCAAATGGCATGACTGCTCATACTATTTTAATTTTGCATTCATGTATTTTGCATAGCATTGTCCAGCAAATGAAAAAGTGAACTCGGAGTCATGTAAAATACAGCATGGCTGATGAGAGGAGACATCATCATCATACATGAAGTCCACTAAAAGACCTCAGGGAAGTGGACATGACATAGTGCAGCGTTTCTCATGGTGGCTCATGATCTAAAAAGTGGGTCGTGGACGACTCGGGAAGGTGAAAAAAAAATTGCATGTACCGTGTTTTCCGCACTATTAGGCGCTTCGGAGTATTCAATGAATGGCCTATTTTAAAATTGTTATCAAATATAGGATGCACCGCATTATAAAGAAGCTGAAATAGTGGCTGAGGTTACCTTATGCATCCACTAGATGGAGGCACGCTAAAGGGCATACATACAGCTTTATTGCTATAGAGCCTTCATAACCGCTGCAACTGTAACAAAGCACTTTACAGAACGTTTAAAAGACTACGTCCAAGAAATCAAAATATTGATCCATATATAAGGGGCATCAGATTATAAGGCGCACTGTCGGTTTTTCAGTAAATTGAATGCTTTTCGGTGCACCTTATAGAGCTGAAAATATGGTATATGTATTCAGATTTTTTTTCCCTTTTCAGCACAATATAGAGGCGTACCGAGTTCCTGCATGGAAGATATTAAGTCAGCAATAGGCAATGTTTAGAATTTGTGCTTTTCGTCACTCGTTAACTCCAAACAATTTTGGCTAGCAGACATCACAGCGAGCAATGTGTTTTTGAAATATTGAAAAATATGCTGTACATGTATTTTCTGATGCTATTTATGTACAAAAAAATGGCCTTATTGTCCTTAACTTCCATAAAAGTGGGTCACAACTTAGCATCAGCAGGAACATGTACGTCCTAAGGCGACAACAGTAGACCGACTTAGTGGATCCTTTCTGTCCAATTTTTACGGTTTTAGTAAACCTTGTGATATGAATAGCACCCTCAAATCAGGCACCAGGAGCTGCGTAAACCCTCGCTGTGTTTATTGCGATTCTTCTGGCGAATGAATTGATTTTAGGGGCATCAAAATGAGTGAAAACTCAAATTTTTGGAAGCGCGTGGTGAAAATGTCTTTCCAGGACCACTGAAAGAATCAGACCCCAACACATTTTTGTTGATCAACATGAAATTGGGTGGACACATGAAACAGAAATCGAACATGATATCCTCCATTTTGGGCTGAAGTACCTGTTTTGGGTTGAATCAACGTAAAGCACAAGGATTCTCTGCCTACTCTATTTAATGTGGCTGAAGTATCAAAGTTTGATTTCGATAATTAAGTTGAAGAAAGTTGAAAAAAATGTGTCACCCGACATGATGATTTGGTTGACGTGACAAGACAGAAGTGACTTGTTTGTTGTCCCTTATTATGAAGCCAGACAAAAACAAAAACTGATTCCATCAAAATACAATAGTCATCATTTCCAAAGTGTTTGGAAACTTTTCAGATCAAATCAGAAAAGTGCGTTGGGCAGACAGTGATTACGTGGAAGCGCCGAGGGGCGGACCATTTTAAAAGCCAGCTCATTTTTAAGACTTACCCGTTTACATATTATCAGTTTAATTTGAAAGCACGGAGGCCAGAAGGGATATTAATGTGGCTCACATGCACTGAAGAGAACGATTTCGTCTTACACGGAGCCTACCGGACTGGTAAGACGGAAGACGGTCCACTGAAGGAGGCGTACGACACGAGTGTGTGGAAAAACGTTACGGCCATTAGGCGGTGAGAGGTTCAGGCTGACGCACGGGGAAGCTGCAGCGTGATAATGCAGGGGCTGCCTGATGGGAAGGCCCTTTTATGTCATATAAGGGAGCCCGCAGAATAGTGCGGAATAAAACGCCGGTGAAAAATGGGAAAAGCGGAGAGGCGGCTAAGGAAGAGACGGGAGCGGGTGAGCGAGCGAGACGGAGATTAATTGATGCTAAAGATGCTCTCTTCCCCCCTGCCATGCTGAGTGCACTCGTGGGGCTTGGCTTCTTAACCCTGGCAGCTCACAGCTCGAGATAAAAGACTAAACTCTGTCCTCTGGGGAAATCTCCCTATGCATGTGTGAGAGCGCCGGAGAGCAGCGGCGGCAGGAGAGGAATGCTATTCGAACACAAGTCAACTTCACATAAGATGAAACTCATCTCCTGCCTCCACGCCCTCCAAATCACATTAATGAGTTTTACTTTTCAGTCTATAAACGTGCTCACAAAAGTCGAGGACGGACGGGCAGGACTACGGCCCAGTTTTAAAAACTTAAGATGAAAAAAAAACAACCAGTTGGAAAAAAAAAACAAAAAAACGTAACATGCTAAGTGGCTACATCTCTTACAACCGTAGCCGAGACCCCTGCGAAAGGCATCTGAACTCCCACAAATATATTCACGTGTGGCCGTTCGATTATGGTAAATATACGTTAGCCATCCGTCCATTTTCTTCAGCGCTTGTGCTATTTGACCCATTGTGTGTTCTGACCTCCTTGCAGCGTATATTCGGTAACAGGACTGCTGTAGACGCCCAGGCCGGCGCCGGTGTAGGCGGCCACTTGGATCTGGTACTGTGTCCAGATGATCAGTTCCTTCAGCAAGCAGTAGTTGGTCTCCGGACTGCTGATGTTCTTCTCCTGGTAATCGCCTGGAAGCCCCGCGAGACGGTACCTTCACATAGACGAGTACGCACACACGCACACAACATGCAAAGGGCTGTTAAGCTTAAAACGGAATGTGTTTGGCATTGAATCGCAACTTGTACATAAAATTGTGAAACAAGAATCGAATTTTTTTTATTCTTCATTTTACATTAGAATAACAAAAATAAATTAGAGACATGAATATGTATTTATTTTTTTAGAATACAATTTTAATACCCCCCCCACCCCCAAACTTCTCAATGAAACAACCAGTGTGGCACCTGTTAGTACTTTGCGATCATTCATCCATTGTTGCGAAATGAAGCACTAATCTATTTGTCAGCATTTTCATCCAGCGTCAAAAGTGAAACAAGATTGTTTGAGCGGCTGACTCAGCGCTCCGGCGGACCCGCTATGTGTCATCCCCGTGCGGCACGCACGGGTGCATAAACACAGATGCATCCAGTGGGGGCGCCACTGGAGGTTGACAGGATGTTTGCCTGCAGGCGGGGAGATAAACAGAGTGGTGCTCGGATGGAGGGTGGAGCAGGGGTGAACAGAGCCGAGGAGAGAAGAGGAAGAAGAAAAGGAGGTGGGGAATGAGGAGATGACAAACTGGCAAAAGGAATAATGGAGGTGAGGCCAGGAGGAAAAGCCCCCCGCCCCATCCCTCCACAGGTCCTGTGAACCCAAAACGAGCCGGCTGAGTTTGTGATTTCAATGGAGTGCGAGCAGATTACACAGTGAATGAGGATTAAAAACATGAGCTGTAATTATACGCAAATGAGCGGGACGCAGTGGAGGGTCATTTGATTGCAAAACAGTGTGACACATTAGAAGCAGGAGGACAGAGGACCGGGAAAAACCGCTTGTCTGTGTGTTTTTGTTTTTTTGTCAGGACTTCTCTACCCATGCATCTCATTGTCATGGCGCTTTTCTACATGAGCTGGAGCCTATTCTGGTGTACTGCGGGTGACAGCAAGGGTACCAACAAGATCGATCATGTGTGATGATTATGTGTGTATGTTGTGTCATCTGAGCTGGATCCGAAGCCGTTATGTTACTATAACTTCAGTGCGTCATACATTTCACACGTCAATGTTTTCTATCGTTAACGTATGTTAAAATGTTCAAAGGTGAGTCACTCTTTGAGGCGAGTTGTTTAAGCAAAGGCTAACATTTGATGATGTCAACTTTTTGATTTTCTGTGGTCAGTCTGAAAAGTAGAAGCCGGAGCCCTATTATTGCGCCGTACGTATAGTGCCTGAAAGTTACATTTGCTATACAAAGAAGAGCAAATCAATACTTTTTATCAACGTTGTCTCACCCTACAACTTAGAAACGTATAAGGTGGCAACTCAGAAAACACGAGTCCAGATGACAACTACACCGAGCGGAAAGGTGAATAATATACGTATTTCTTCCTTCTTCCACAATATCTTTCCAATGCCGCAAGGTAACGAAGTGGGCTACACGTCAAGCTACCCTTACTGTTTGTGGCTTTCGCGCCAGCATCACGGGTCCAAAAATGTCTGTTAGTGCACCGCGGTGGCTGTTAGCCACTAGCTAATAGTTAGCTAACCAGGTACAGTTTAGCTCTGTCATTGTAAAAGTAAATAGCTCGCTAGCTAGCCAGCCAGCCAGACAGACAGACAGACAGACAGATACAGTAGATAGATAGACAGATAGATAGATAGATAGATAGATAGATAGATAGATAGATAGATAGATAGATAGATAGATAGATAGATAGATAGATAGATAGATAGATAGATAGCAGTGAACAATACAAACATGCTCGGGAAAATAAGGCCGTGATATTTATTATTTAAAAATAAAACAAAACACATTTGCTCTTCATAACACCGTATATTTGATATGAACACGAGTGTGTTGCAAGCATGTGACCATGAATAATACATTTGTGTGGACTCAGAAAAAGAATTTTACAGCAACACACGAGCCACCACGTGATAATACCGCCTTCCATAAACTGGGATTCATTTTTAAAAATGTATACTGTAAAGCCACTCGATAATATGCAATGCAGCTGGCCATAGAGTTGACGTGGGTTTCAGAAACATGGTGCTACTTAACTCATTCACTCTCAAAGACATTTTGAAACGTCTTTTCAGACTTGGTCCAGAATTGGCTGGTACTGAATGAGTTAATGTCTACCTGGACCAACCGTTACAATAGAGACAAGGAATCCATTCGTCATTCCTCCCATCATCCTGAAGACCAGTGCACTCTATTTCAGCAAGCAGACAATAGCTTTTCAAAGTGGGTGCCCAATTGTACTCGCCATCCATTTATCTTTTTATGGAGTTTGTCCTCGTTAGTGTCAACGGTGAGCTAGAGCGTACGGCCCCAGCTGACTTTGTGCAAAATGTGCTTCCCACACAATGCTATGCTGCCTCCCCATTGTACTGCTTCTTTCGAAAAAGTTCAAGAACATGTGAGAAGCCCAATGGTTTATTCGCAATGTTTCCAGCATGCTCTTTGTACCTAAGCATATATCCTCGGAGGACTCCATTGAGCTGCAGTTCTGGAGGAGGCTGCCACTGGACCATAATGGACTGGTTGGTTCGCCCGCTGGCCACGATGTTCTTGGGGGGTGCACTCGGCGCCTCCTCTCTCAGCATCAATCTGACATGTCGTGAAAACAGAGAGGGAAACAGAGATATTGATTAGGAAACGGCATTTCTATATTCTATATTAACCCTTTTATGCACCCCTGTAATCTGATAACATGACAAGCTGTCCACTGGAGTAACCGCTGTCCCTGAAAGGGTTCATGTACTTCTGCTGCTGTAAAGTGAAAACATAAGCTTGCTTCTAACTACATTGGATAGTGCTGCTTTGGGATAACAGTTTAATTTGTTCCTTGACCACACTCATAACATAAAACACTTGTATCGTAAAATCATTGTCGTCTATTGAAATGAATGGCCGTTCATCCATTCCGGCCATCTCCCCCACAAAAAAAAAAAAAACAACAATATTTCTTTAAAACAAAGAGTAATCACACGCTATAATATTGGACTTAATAAAAATATAGAGTAATAAGAAAATTAAAAAGAATATTAAAAAAAGCAGTTTTCCATCACTATTTGATGCTCCAATTCAGCAGTACAGTCATCCATATACTGTACAAATAAAAAAATTATCTTCTATGACTACTGTGAGTGACTCTGTAAAAATCTCTGAGATTAATCATAATAATGTAATTACACAAACAGTTTGCTGCCGATACAAATGACGATAACACATGGCGATAACACGATTGTAGAAAAAGTCGCCCAGCTCTAGCTTAATGTGCTTTCATGGAAGACAGAAAAAAGAACATTTACTCAGAGGCTAAAATTCTGAGGATTTGGTCAATTTTCAGTAAAACAAAGTCCCTCAGTGATTTAGCCAATCTGAAAAGTTTTGTCCGTTTCATCATTATTTTTTTTAATCAACAGGGAATGAAAAAAAAAAACATCTAATCCCCCGATGAGGATCAGAGGTTTTGAAATCGGATGCATCGTGTCCTCATCGTAACTGATCAACAAACCCCCCAAAAATCAGAGGTCAGTCAGACTTGAGTGCAGCGTCCCAAATACCCCCACCCGCCCACTCGTGTCCTCAGCTGCTTTTCGGCTTTTTAAGATCTTGTTGCCCTCATTTCCCCGGCATCTCCTCAGCGCAATAAACCGGCGTTTTTTTTTTTTTCCACCTCCTTTGAGCTGCGGTCGACTCGAGCGTTTCATTTAAAAGTCGATGCGCCACGTGGGTTCCGCCACGAAGAAAACGTGTGGGCATTAAATAGTGGAGGACGACACGGATAGAAACTTCTGCTAATTCCTCTAGCGTGGGGAATTACACAAACACATACGCACACACACAGATAAAATGTTAATCTCCTCCAGAAATCCATCCTTTTTTCTTTAATAGCAAGGGACAGATAAAGTGTGTCAAACAGCGTTCAAACTTATGAGTTTGAGTTCTTGTTTTGAAGCGGCAGACGCCGTCACGTATATTTGTACGGGAAAGCGTCGGCGCCTCGGAGTCGGCCTGGGCTTTATGACTCGAGTTTGTGCGAAGTTAACGTCCCCATGTTGAACCCACTTGATGTGAAATATTTACTCTGAAAAGGTTTGGGCGGGAATCAAGGCAATTCACGAGGTATTTTTCACCGCAGGGCGCAACAGCTTGTGCGTGTGGGTACATTTGCGCGCTAAATCTGTATCGATTTCCGTCCAAAAAGCTGCGAAACAGTCAAAGATTACATATAGCCTGTTTCCAGACAGTAAACTTACAGCGTTAAAGGCCATCAGACTGTGTCTATGTGTGTCGCTGGTTTTGACGCTGCTCGCCCTGCTATATCATGTTTCTTCGTTAGCGCCTGTCATGACCTGTGTCTTTGTTGACTTTGTTTTCATCGGATTTATTTGATGTTTTCACCACGTGGCTTTTAATCTCTCTTGTCTTGCTCGTTCGGTTTTTGTTTCCACCTGTTCTGGTCAATCCGGTCCCACGTCTACCAATGAGCTCCCCTCGAGCCATCCGTGTCTTGTCCTCTTTGTCTTGTCAGCTTGCATGTATTTAGTTCTCTGGTTTCTTTCTGCCTTTTGTCGGGCCATTTTTATTTTTTGCCGGTTGTTTAGTTTGCTCTGAGTCGCTGATGGCATAGTGGTACAATCGCCTGACTTGTGTGTGGGCAGCATGGGATCATTTCCCACTCAGTGACGGTGTGAATGTGGGTGTGTCTTGCTGTTGGTCTTGATATGTGTCCTGTGACAGTCTGGCGACCAGTTCAGGGGATGGTTCGCCTCTCGCACAAAGTCAGCTGGAATAGGCTCCAGCAACCCCCGCGACCCTTGTGAGGATGGGCGGTTTTGAAAATGGCTCTGTTTTTATGTGTTAGCATTAAGCTACCACACAAAATTAGTTGGTTTGGATGCATGTTTTTGTGTTGTTTTACACAATGTTTCAAATTCAAACGTTTTGAAAGCATGTTGAGGGGTAAAATAATTGAAAACAAAAAGATTATTGTTTTTAAAAAAAGACTTTCTTCATGTAATTTTTCACCAATTGGAACATAACCCCAACAATAAAAGGCGTTCCAGCTTGAAAACCACCGTCCTGTGTGGTGCAGCTACCTGACAAAACAAACAGTTTCAACAAAAGCGCACACATCCGCGCACACACGCAAGCACACAACTAACGGCTTCGTAGCTCCAAGCAGCATCACTCAAGAGGGAGATGTGGCGAGTCGTAATCCGTGCCAAGGAAAAGGCCATCGGATGTTGCGGCGTGTCCTAAGCTGAGCGACAAATGCGATACTCGTGTGTGTGTGTGTGTGTGTGTGTGTGTGTGTGTGTGTGTGTGTGTGTGTGTGTGTGTGTGTGTGTGCGTGTGTGTGT